GGTTGCTTCGATGTCTGATTTCAGTGCTTCAGCTGGTATGTTGTCGGGTCCTGCTGCTTTCCCGTTCTTGATTTGTCTGACGGCCATTCTAATTTCTTCCGTCGTTGGTGGGTTGACATCTATAGGAAGATCTATGTGTGCTGCTTCGATGTCCGGTGGATTCATTGGAGCCGGCCTATTCAGGAGTTCCTCGAAGTATTCTACCCATCTGTTACACTGTTGTTGAATTTCGGTGATTGGCTTGCCTTCTTTGTCTTTGACCGGTCTCTCTGGTTTACTGTATTTCCCTGATAGTTTCTTCGTTGTGAAGCTGTTTCATATTTCCTTCTCTAGCAGCTTTTTCTGCCGTCGTTGCTAGTTCTTCCACGTATTTCTTCTTGTCGGCTCTAATGCTCCTCTTCACTTGTTTGTTTGCTTCTATGTATTCAGCTTGTGCTTGGACTTTCTCTGCTCGTGTTCGGCTGTTGTTAATTGCTGCCTTCTTGTTCTTCCTTTCTTTGATCTTGTCCAGTGTTTCTATAGAGATCCATTCCTTATGATGGTGTTTCTTTAGGCCCAGAACCTCTTGACACGTTGAAGTTAATGCTTCCTTGATGCCTTTCCAGTTGTCCTCCATAGTAGTTTCTTCTTCATTCAGTAGATCTTGTAAGGCTTGAAACCTGTTGTTGAGAGCTATCTTGAATTCATTGAGTTTGTCAGTATCTCGAAGGAAGGCTGTATTGAACCTTTGTAGTGCTGTTTGTCCACTTGTCCAGTTCTTTTTCAGCTTCAGTTTTAAATTGGCTACAACTAGGTGGTGATCTGAAGCTACGTCAGCACCTCTCCTGGTTCTCACATCTTCCATTGTCCTTCGGAATTTTTTGTTGATGCAAATATGATCTATTTGGTTCTCTGTAGTGTGGTCCGGTGAGATCCATGTAGCCTTGTGTATACGCTTGTGTGGAAATATTGTGCCTCCTATGACTAATTTGTTGAATGCACACAAACTTGCAAATCTTTCTCCATTTTCGTTTCTTTCTCCCAGTCCATGTCGTCCCATAATATCTCCATATCCAGTGTTGTCTATTCCGACTTTGGCATTTAGATCTCCCATCAGAATAGTTAGGTCCTTTCTTCGGCATTTCTCAATGATTGACTGCAGCCGCTCGTAGAACTGATCTTTAATGTCGTCGTTGCTATCATTGGTGGGTGCATAACATTGGATAATATTCATTAAGATCCCCTCCTTTGTTTTGAATGATGCTTTGATGATTCTGGATCCGTGAGATTCCCATTTCGTGCTACTTTGGACAGCATTAGAGCGACTCCCTGAGTGTGTGGAGCATTTTCCTTTCGTGACCGGAGTATAGCAGCATCTCTCCCGTAGCTAGCCTTTTCTGTCCAGCTTGGGTCCAGTGGGTTTCGCTGATTCCCAGTACTGCTAAGTTGTATCTCCTCATTTCCATTGCTATTTGACTGGTCTTCCCGGTTTCCCACATTGTTCGAACGTTCCATGTACCTATAAAAATTTTTGCTCTGGTTGTTAGAAGGGGCATCGGCCTCGTGGCTTCCGAAGGAACTCGGCTTTCACCATGAAGCGTCATAATTCTTCTAACTGAAGACCTTCTAACTCCCAGGGCAGAGTTTAAATGGTTTGGATTATTTTTTCTGGTAAGCGTTTTTTTAGCGAGTTAGTTTTCTACGGGATGGGGACGCTAACCCCATGCCCAACCCTCCTCCTTTATCCGGGCTTGGGACCGGCCGTAACCCTGTTAGAGCTACAGGCGGACTTTTTCTTTGACCTATGGAAATGAATTTACGAAAAATTGATTTCATGAAATAAATAAATACAAATAATCATACCTTGATTATTCTGTAGTGTCGGTCACTATGTTAAGTCTATATAACTTATTCTAGTTTCTGAACGGGCCAGTTTATCCATTCTTCTTGAGTCACGTTTTGACCTTGTCACTCATCCACTTATCAACCTTGATTGTGTGAGTACACTTCTCACCCTATTCATCACATGTCTGTAACCCATTTTTATCTGGCTATATATATTGATTGGCACTGGATTAAATGGATTTGGCTGACGAGTCTTGCATTTGTATTCAAATATCCATTCTCGAATTCCACTTATTTAATTCCGTTATTCACCAACGAGTACCAAGTCGATAATAATACACACAAATAGTCAGGATGTATATTTCATACGATATTACTGGAGTCAGATCTCGGGCCATTAAAATCCGATTGTACATACGGCTCCTTGTGGTTTAGTGGGATTTCACGAACTTAAGGTATTAATGCTGATTTATCATGCAAAATATCTCATTAAATCGTGTTACGAACGTTGAATTGGTTTCACTTCCTACCCTGTGATCCTATTACCAGCAAACTAGACAATTCGATAATATACGAAGCCTACTCAAGACCCTATGATACCTAAAAATTAAAAATAATAATACAAAAAGAGATGAAAAGGGCTCCAATAGTTTCGATAAAAAAGGGAAGATAGTCAATTGTATATAACAATAACTGTTTTTAGCACTATATTTTATTTTATAACCACACATAATCCCATACTCTCAGCTCCTTTCTGAATCCCCTCCATTTGTCAGTTGTATGTCCACTCATACCTTGTTTACACTTATTTTCTTTAACCTACTAAAGTGCTCTTGCCTAACAAATACCTTAGTAAAAGAAAATTAGACTGAGTAATCATACCTTAAACATTCCTTCATGGATATTGGCTATTCTGCCTCTCGTCCTTTCTTTTACTTGCTCCCTCTTTCAGCCCCCTTGAGATATGGAACGGGTGACTTCATCCTGCACCATCCTTAAAGCCTTGGATATTCCAAATGAACATAAGGTTGCGGTTTCTAGAAGCTCATACCTTCAATGGACCTATCTTCGACCATCGGTTGCACATTTGCAACGCAACTTTCATGAAGCGCGCCGACGGTGATACTGACTAAAACCATCTATATTCATACCTTTTAAATTATCAACCCAGCTGAGTAATTTATTACAGTGGGTGTTGTATCATTTTTGAAAATTTGATCTTGCCTGTAAACTGGCATGCCTCATGTAACAAACTGTTATTTGAGAATAACTTGCTATTATTATTTTTATAATTCCACTAACCGAATTCATACTTTTGAGTACAAAAATCTATCAGCCTGCCTTATTACATACAATTCTTACTAGCTAAATATTTACAGTATTTCCTATAGCATTTGTTACAACTTGATCTTGCCTGTAAACAAGCATGCTCCATGTAACATATTTTTATTTGAAGATAATTATTAACATGACCTCGACAATCTTTGAGGTGTTCATACAAGCATTTTAATGAATTTTGTTAACAGTAACCACTTATAGTGATATGACAGGTTTAAAATAAAGTGGCTGATGAGATGCAGACGAAATCGCTAGCATTATATTTTTCTTTGTTATACAAGTTTCAGTTAAATTGAAGATCGGAGGAATGAAGTGTTGCGAGGGGATACATGACAAACAACCAGGTACTATTTATAGTCCTATTATTTATATTGTACTTTTACTCTGAAGGGACATCAAGCTGGTTGTCTGTAGGTGAATGGCATCCCATGGGTTCTATGGTGAAATATGTATACAACGTTCGGCGGAACACATTAAGTTGGTAGTTAAAACTTACACAGTTGGCCTAAGGCTTGAGTTACCACAGAGCTACTTATTTGGGGTGAGTTCTTTATCACTGGGAGTTGTAGACTTAAGCAATGAAGCATATGACAAGACAATTCAGATGACAGGTGAGCTGTTGCTCGTCGGCCGACATATAAACATATATTTAGTGATAGTCACCATGTGCTTACTGGCTACCTGATTCGTAATAATATCTCCGCAATTCCACTGATATGTTTTGACAAATATAGTTCAGTAATGCCGTACATGAGATGATTTCAAATCCACAGTATAAGATGGCAAAGCAATATCGCGACCATTCCAAAATGAAGCTATTAAACCTAAATATTCTAAGTTGCGTCATTCTGGTTATGAATGCTGTTAAGGTGTATATACTTGGACGAAACTGTTACTCGATGGTTCCTGGTTTTTATTGGCTGTATAAACTGGGTGGGTTCGTGATCTCATTAACACCCAAAAATTTCCTTAAATCTCTATAGTTTCGAAATACTTTGTCGTTTAGTGGTCAGTACAATTAAATCTCATCATCAGCACCTTAATCTATGCCGCTTGTAATCTAAGTACTAAAAATGGCTCAGGAACAAAACTGATTCAATTTATTTAAGTCTTTTTTAAGTGATCTTTGTCCTCCAGCACCATCTTTATTAACAAGACTCTAGATGGTAAATCAATACTCAAAATTATATGTTTTAAGGAGATAAGCTCCGAATAAAGACCAAACACGGTTATTTACTGTGAACTGAAGTCTGGAGTAAAAGATAGTCAACATCACGGTGAGAATAAACCTCAATCTCAACCTCAGTTTCAACCTTGTACCTGGTAACCAGCCAAAATGAAGAGGAATTATCGTTTACACAATTGCGACCCATGATGAAGAGCGTGCTTTGTTCGCTGTCATTTTTGCTACCTTACATGAAAATCGAAAGGTGTTCTACGGCTGTAATACAGCTCCATCATGCTGTAGACACGTCAATTGTAGCTCACCCAGCCATGATGGTAGAAAATCACAACGTAGCAATGTAATACCTCCATTAAAAATTATTAGAAAATATTTGATATCAGGTGGCTAAATAACTCGAAAACACAACCTTCATTACTGACTACAAAACAACTAGATGACTTGAAAGAGTGGAGTTTACCCTCAGCAACATATCATAATATTTGTTTCTTCGTATGGTATCTAGGGCTTAGTTAGTAGACGCGCACATTATAATTTCGACAATATGGATGAGGAAGTTATTAAAGAGCAAGAAGATGGCTTAAGAGGAGATATATTGGATTTAAAAGCCCAGATTGAAGAAAGCGAATTGATTTACGGGATTCCGTCCAAAGGAATGGGGTTTGTCAATTTGGCCACCCAAGATAATGTTGCTAAAGTTCAGTTTATGTACCAAAGGACCCGGAACACTTTAGTCGTGAACGAAAATGTGCTTTGCATAAAACTATGCAGGTGCTCGAGCCTCAGTCGATTTTTCTCCAGGCGGATCTCATGGTTAAGGAATTAGATGCTTCGTCAAGGCGTGAGTATACGGAAAAATCATTACCCATTCTTTTGCATCAAGTATGTTGCTTATATGCTTGACTCTTGTAGTTTTTTATCGACAGGATGCATCAGATGGTTATCCTTAAGCATTCTCATCTTCTAAGGTGGAAGCGCTACTGTTTCTCAACTTCAGCAATTGAATCCATATGTTCAGAGTACCTTGATAGATTACAGTAAGTAAATTAAATTATTATTAAACGTTTTGAATTCCTGTAGACAACTTACAAACGAATATCTAGATGCCTGTTCTAGGGCACGCAGGCTTGCTTCAACTACAGAGGGGTTGTTGACCGGTTCAGATTGTGGTATTGAGGACGTAACGGTAGATGATTACCAGGTCTACTTGCGACACATAGTCTATCACTTACGATCACTTTCCTATGTTAATCAGATTTTAAATGTAACAGTCGTTATCTTAAAATCATTCCATCTTTAGATAATCAAATGGTTTCCGTATCATTACAGAGACAAACTAAAAGGAAGTTTGAACGTAAGCATAGATAATTAGTTACTTATTTATTTATTTATTTATTATTCTAAATGGTACTATGTAAATGAATTCTGAAACAGAGCATTGATAAAAGTTTAGGTTTCCTGTCAACCATTCGGCCAGAAATTGTAAAGAACTTTCACTTATACTCATTTCTAACTTTTATCTATAGATAAACAAGAAGCTGTATTATAGTCTGAGATTCTATTACTTGATCATATTCTAGCATATCAAATCAGATCACTGTGAAGATATTAAATTTTTTGTTAATATTTTCCGGGTGAATTAATGGTCTTATTCTGTTAGCTAGATTTTGCAGTTAAGCACTTAGGGACTAGCCTCCGACAAAGTTCTTCAAGATCATTCAAATTTCCTGCATTGCAGACTGTCAGGAAGATTAAACTCCTCATGAATGTTATCAAACAGATTATTATAACTCATAAGTTTTAAAAGTTAAGCTTTAATTCCTGCTTAGATGTCAGATTTACTTTATAGCAATGTACCTCACTAAGTTTTATTGCTTACTGGCGGGTATGACTTCGGTAAAAAAGTAGGAGAAATGTTTGTGTTGTCAGAAAATCAAAGTACTGTAAGAATTGGTGAAGTCGAGCCTACTCGACTTAACTGTAAGTAAAGTGGACTATAACTAAGTACATAATATATTTAAGTTATGTGGGTCAAACAGTGTTTTGGCATGCTATTCCTACGTGTTGTTCATTACTTAGAGGAACTGAAAAGCTGAGACTACTTACTTAAGACTGTATAGAAAGAAGATAAGAGAATTGCTTATTATATTTACAGTCTGACTGTGCCAATGAGGATAGACAGAAGAAATAGAAGTCGTTATGCATAATCTACAGACAGACTTCTACCGACAGTTTTGCAACCATACTATTTTAGAAGTGTTTTGACGAAAGCGAGCATCCTACTTAGAAATGTTTTGAATCTTGTGTGTCGATTAGTGTTTTGTTACTTTCACAGGAGGCTAAAGTTTTAATAACCCTGTCATTAGAAAGAATTTTCGCTAAATATTCTAGTGTAAATATGACAGGATTCGAAATAAGAGGATATAAAACAATTTAACAAGTTATTTTAATAGTTGCGTACATGAGTCATTTGAAGCTAGAACATCATGGAAAAATTGAAAGCACCGGACAACCGTTTCGTCTTCGTTTGTAACTCAGCAGTGCGCATCCACGATCCCGCTTGGAACCCTGGACCTATCGGTCTCTCGCGCGAACGCTTAACCTCTAGACCATTGAACCGGCATCTTACGGTGTTGATGTCTAATTTCAACTAATCCACGAAATCGAGCCACCGTCTGTTGTGAGATAGTAACTCGCTGAAGAAAATAGTGGATGGTGGCTCGATTTTGTAGATTGGTTGAAGTTAGAAATTAGCAATGTTGGATGCCGGTTCAGTGGCCTAGAGGTTAGGCGTTCGCTTGCTAGACTGATAGGTCCTGGGTTAGAGTCTCGCACAGCAGGATCGTGGATGCTCACTGCTAAGTCCAAGTTTTCCATGACGTTTTAGCTTCAATTGACTCATGAATGCAACTATTAAAACTACTATATTATCCACAAAAACCTCTTTTTGATCATTTAACATGTGTTACAATTAAATCTACTCGGCAGCATAAGACAGAACTGTAATTACTACTTTATGGATTAAGTTAATGTATTGTGACTATTGTTCTGTGGGCTATAAGTGAACTTATCTGAAGAAGTTGCATTAATTTTCCCAGAAGTAACAGTCGGAACAGTCAGTATGTTACCATGTAAAACATCTAAATAGACAGCTTAAACTCAAGGCAGTCAATTTGTGTTCGTATTAACTATTTCACAGTAATGAAACCAATGAGATCCTTTTAGGAGATTTATTTTATCGTTTATTCTATCACTATGTTTTTTAGTTTAAACGTTTTTGTTGTGGTAGGACATAATTTCAATAAAAATGCAAAACTGATATATTTTGTAGGGGTTTATAGATGGAATTAAATGTCAAAATCAAACTCATAATTATTCAATTGCCGTTTTAAAGAGTAGAGAGATATAAGTAAAGTACGCTATTTTTAATGATTGGTTGGATCCCAAGTTAATGGTTCAAATTAAGAGCCAAGTCTAAGGGAAATATATCTTTTAAATTCTTAGTTTATTACTAAAAGATTGAAAAATGACTTTCTATTGTTGAATCAGCTGGTATAAAAAGTTTTATTTGATTCAGCTTAAACACCAGCTAAGATTGTGTGATGTAATAATGAGAATAAGTATAAACAGCAGTTGTTTGCTAATTGCTCTTCATTATGTGTGAAGTGAACTGAACAAGATGAAAAGAACTAGTTGATGAGATAATTTATTCGTATTGAAATTGGCATTTACTATGTAATCAATGAATCTCCTTTGGTTTATTCATACTTTAATAACTTTACAAAATGGAATTTTTATCAAGCTCAATTAATTGCAAAATTTGTTACACATTTTCTTTAGAAAGAAAACATGGATGTTGCTAAAAAGGATTATTTGCTTGACAAACATGAATCACAAGAACATAAAATGTTGACTAGACTTACTCCGATTAACAAAATTGAGGTTCTTTACGAAAACGTCAGTGACGATAGAAGCAAGCAAAATTATTTACGTATAACGACTGATGATGAGGATGACATTATATCTTCCACTATGCCAAAAGGTAAAGCCGAAGCAAATACAAACAGAACAAGTGAACTGCCTGGAGAATCATCTGTATATAATAATAAACAGGAAATATTCAACAAAATTGATACCAGCACACTAAAAGAGACTGGAAATGAAAATATAAGGACAAAGTCGGTCAGTTTTAAACCTGACGAAGAAAGAATAAGTATTATGCAGAGAAAGGGTATTTCCGAAAGATCACCAAATCACTTTCACTTTTCTGAGCAAAAACGTCAACCATCAAGAATGGCAAATTCAATAAGTTTGAGTTCGAATGACTCATCGTTAGCAAATAAAAACAGTTTGTTATTAGCAGTAACAACTGGTATCACAAATGAAAAGGTATCTGTTCTACCACTGCATACAAATGACCTGGAAACATTACGACCACATCTGGTATTACTGTGTCAGACATATAATATTCAGATGGTAGGTAATATTCTAAAGCATAGGCTTGTAAAGTATGGTTTAAAATTTTTAACGTAAATAATTTACCTTCTAAGTGTTTAAATATTTGTAAGTGAAAATCAAGAAAAAGTTTACATTTTACAGATTCGTGTTCAAAACAAAGTATACCATCAATTTAGAAACTCATTACAAATTATTTTTAGCAATATGGAGAAGTGTTTACAAGATAGCAGTCAGCTCTTACTACAATTCAGATTCATCAAACTCTTATCTTTTTCCTGATTTGAAAAATCATGCTTCACTAGAAATCATGAACTTTCTGTTGGCTTTAAGAAATTTCTTACTTTAATTGCTTCTTCTGTTTTTTGACATTTGTTTTCTGTGTAGTTAAGATCCATAGAAACCTGAGTAGTCAATTATTTCATGGTCGTCAAACTTTTTATGTTTGTATAGTGACGTTGCAGTTGAACAGAATAGGGTTTTATATATTTGCTACTAATAATCTGTGGAGCTCTTATAGGTGTTAGAAAAATGGTTTAACAGTTTCTGTTAATTATGTGCTCTGATTTTTTGACGAGAAAGTTTTTTCATGTACATTAATTGAACACTAAATTGTAGCCAATTTTATGTTTGTCTTGTACGAAGTGATTAACCGAATGTTATCAAATAAGTTGGGAAATGGCTACCAGTTTAAGTGACTCGATACAACCTGAACCTTCACAAAAATAAAACAAAGTTACGTAAAATTTGACTTTCATTTGTAAACTGAAATTAGAGATACATTTTGTATGATAATTAATTTGATTTAATGCTATGGTAAAGTAATTAATTTCCGGTTACCTAACAGTGAATATAAGTAATTCCAAATAATTTAAATTGTCGTATTAAATATGTTCAAACATATTCAGAAAACTGATGAACAACGCCGACTAATATTAAGTGTTCAGAGAAGTTAGAAATCATTTAAAATAAAAAATGATGAAGAATTTGACAGTGACTTCATTTTTCACAAACTAAGAAACAAATAACCATACGGAAATCATGGATTTTCCTTTAGACTTATCTGCATTTATACTTTATCTTCGTTCAAAATTTCTGCTAATTTGTTTTATTCATTCTTTAATCTTGTAATGATTCTATATCAATTCGAGTATGAATGGACACGAGCTAACAGTATTTATTGTTTAAATAATATATTTAACTAGTGTAACATTATTTTTTTCTGGTCACCAGAGTATTCAATTCAGTTTTTTCACGTCGAGAATATTTAAATTGATTCATGGTAATAAAATGTCGCTACACAGAGTATTCAATACTGTTGTACATGTTTTATATTCTTATTTGCCGAACTGATTTGTCTTTGTACTTAATCAGTATTTTAGATATATAAAACAGTAGAGTAGTTAGAGTATCAGGAAATATAAGATCATGGTGCAACCACTGATTTTGCTATACTTTATTTCTATACTGAAAATGTTTTGTGTATAGCTGTTTAACAACATCGTCAGTGAACATCATTTTTTAGTCACTCTTCTCCTTTTTATATATTTTGTGATGTCAGAACTTGGTAAATGAATTTTGGGAAGTTGTGTTTATGTTTGATATACGTTAGAAGTTTATTTATCGCTTATTTTGTTATTAAGGATATTGATTCCATACGCTCAACATCAGATGAAATGGAATTATTCGCCGTAATCAATCGTAAATTCCAACATATTTTCAATCATCAAGATGAAATGTACGATTTTCGGACATATGATCATACAAAAGTAACAATTCAGTATTTTAGTGATTTTTGCTTTGTTATATAATAAAATATTTTATAAATGACTTCATTTAAAACATACAGTTGAAAAGTATAACTTTTAAACTATTATGAAGTTTTATACGACTATTAGTACATCCCAAACCCAAATACCATCACTGAGGATTAAACTGATGATTTTTCAAGGGTTTTAATTGTATTCAGGCCAAATGGACTAAAATTACAGTTGCTGATTGAAATACTAAATTGATTGGATATGAATTATGTTTTGCTCATAGAATATGATGCATTTGTGTGACATAAAAAGATTGATAAAAATTTTGTCAAGAACATTAAGTTGTAGGTTTGCTGCATGAGTAAGTTTGCATTCACAATGCAATAGCATTTTTGATAAATGTTCATATTTTATTTATGCATAAATGAAAAACTTTCCGTGGCATCAGTCCTTGAAGTCACTAACTTCTAGTCTGAGCCATGTTGGTAGATGCAGACTACTTGGTCGGGGTCTGTGTGACTATCGTAACCAATGGTTGGAGACTATGTGTGACATGGCTCAGAATCGATCACAATAGTGTAGGTGTATACACTCTCTATCTTCCCTTAAACTATGAGATTAAAATCGCTTTATGTCTTTCTTTCTACGTACTAAATCTTTCTTCCTGTACTATATCCTTATATGCTATCTTTCTTTTATATATTACCACCATTGAATTAACTACTTCTATGAATTCGGCGTTCATCTTGTTGTGTTAATGAGGTGTGGTAACTTGGACCGGTGCACATATGTGCGTGGTCCTACGCAGTAATAACTAACTAAAGTCTTTTATGATGGTTATTTTAATTATTTAAAGAATGTATGCCTCAAAATATTGAAGATTAAGACTTCTCTATTTGGTTTTTGTAACTGTAATAATTATTTATAGGCTGTTGGTGAGCGTTGGGGATTAGATATGTGGCTGCATGCTATGAAAAAACCTAGTAATTGGTTGGAGTTTATAAAATTGAAACCGAGGCGAGATGAACGTGTAGTAAAATATATGATGGGACTAAGATGCAATATAGTGATAGACGATCTCTTGTTGGCAGCATCAAAATTTTTACATGTTAGATCATCAGAAGTAAGTTGTAAATAAACTACATAAATAATTAATTTAAACATAACTAATTGTACTCATCTTCTCAATTCAGTTATGGATACGTAAACAGTTTATATCTGTCAGCTTAATGGATTTGAAAATGACTGAATAGTTAGATGCAGTTGTCCATTCTCCTATGGTGACAAGTGAGCTAAAACTGTGAAGAGAGAGTAAATATTTTAACAATTAGGGCTTAATATTGTTGGAGAAAATCCAGAATTTTAGCAACTTCAACAACACATTAGAATTGATTCTTCTTAGTTTGAATTTTTTTGAAAGACAGCTCAAAACATCAAAATGTACCAAATTAGCAATGAATTTGATAAAATTGCTTGATCAGGGTATATAGCTCTTAGATAACATAACAAAATAGGTCGTGATTGAGTGGATGGTTCTTTTTGTTTGTTTTAAGACTTACTAACAAAGCTCATGCGTAGTTTTTATTTCTTGTTACATTCGTTTATTCGAAATACTACTCATTTTTTCTTATTTTTGTTTGACTAGCAACGCAGTTATTTTGTTCAACCAACGTTTTGTTTTGTTAGTTGTCTCATTTGTTGGTGTTAAGTATTGTTATGTGTATCAATACACAAATGTTCCAAATCTCACACTATTCGTAAGTAGCACTTATATTACGCAATTTGGTGATGCGTACACATGTATATTTCGTAGTCTATAAGTCACGCTTGGTTTGTTGAAGAGAAGCTAATTATCCAGTTATGTAGGCTAAATTAGTTAATATAATTTTGAATACTCTTTCAAATTACTTGTGATGAATTGCTTTCATCACTGAGTTAAATTTTGAATTAAACTAATGTAATAATCATAATCAAATATTTTTAATTCCTCACCTGGTTTATTTTAAGTATTTAACCGTTTTTTTCTTCTCTATTCATTTAGCGAGTGCAAGATGCGTTACGTCATCATCTAATGGTTATCCCACATTCACCAAAAATACGAACAGCATCAGTTTTATCTCATAAAGATGGTCAAAATACTGTTGAGATATTTAAGAAGATTTATACAAATCCTGAACTATATTCGAAGTAAGTTAAGATCATTTAATAACGATATTATAACTATTCAGATTTAAGGTCTATGTTTAGGTCGAGTCTCAAGTGTCATACGTTTTTATCGATAAATTATTTGAGCAAATTACTTGAATATGAAGGTGTTTGTTTTTTGGGATAATCGTTTGCTGGAAATTAGTATGTACATTATTTCGAAGCTTGACAGCGTGAAAATGTTTATTAGATGTGAAACCATTTTTTCGACCTATCTAAATATTTCATCTATAGGTTTATATATTCGAATAAAGCCTAAGCATCGTGGAATCTTTTAAAATTGTAAATTTACTTAAAACATTGGGTATATGGATAGTATTTTATCATATAAAGAATAAAATTTAGAAATAATTAGTAATATATCAGGTGGAGATTGTGAATTAACACAAAATGAGTAATAATTGAATAGGATAGTTTTTAGAAACCAATAAGTTTCTGAGTACACTAAATCAAACAAACCCTGTTTTCTATGACACAATGATTCAGACTAAGGATATGTCAATCTGGGTAATTACTTCTAAATAAATCTTTGAAAAGTCGGCTGTTTATCTTACTTTTGGAGGATTTCGGTGATTTCTTTAAAAATCTTCAGAAGCCACAAGAATATAGAGAATAATTTAACCGGTTATCATTCCTTAGAAATTTTCAAGAGAATCTCAGAAAACAACGGGTCATAATTTCATTATTCAACAGCAAAAAATACAAATTTTGTTACCGAACTTATCATGTTTTCAAGTGTTCCTAGAAACGCAACGTTACACCTGATACCATTAGTACCTTTGTTTTCTGTACACGAATTCACCTTCGAAGTAGAATCCTTTTCATACTATCACATTTTGTTTTCTAATGTGAGTTAAATAAGAGGTTTTTAGGGGTTAAGTAGCAGTTAGCAAATTGATTTCTAAGCGTTAAAGCTCAAGACATATCACTTTTACACTAATAATACAAGGAAACAGTTATTCTATATCCTTGTAGCCAAAAGTGTTAAACAGTTTAAAAATATAAAAATACAAAAATAATGTATTCGGATGTTTTAAAAACAAATTTTATGTTCATTATATTGGTAGGTTTCAAGTAAACACATCAGTAACATTGATTTTTATTTGTTTAGCTGTAAGTTTTGTATTTCAAATAGAAAAGCTGAACTATTTCAACAAAAATATAAGAGTTTTACCATTGATTTTTAGCGGAAATATTTTATATGGCAGTATCGAAGAATATTTAAACTCATTATGAAACAAGTTTCTAAATGATGTTTGTTGAATTATTGTGAAAATATACCCTGAGTACCATAGTTTAAGTTAAAAACTATAATATTGGTGTGGATGGGTTTTGACATTTACGTAAGTATGAATATTTTCAACATGTTTTTGAAAGGAATCAAAGTTATATTAAGTAACAAAACAAATTTCAATATATCGGTGAGACTATAATTGATGGACAACCTTTGAGCAACGCTAAAATGACCTCGAGGGTGTTCACCTGATAACTAGGACCAAATGAGGGTTATAAACCAGTGTGAGGAATTAGAATTATGATTTACAGTTGATTGTTAGGGTTAGTAATTAGATTTAGGGTTTTCATCACGAACTGACATATTATAATGCCATGAATCTACTTAGCCAAATGAATGAATTAGTTTCGCGCTAAAATCCGAGGCCTATTATCTTACACCTAATTGGTTCATCCACAAATTATAGTCTCGCCGAAAAATCTCTTAATGCTGTTCAATGTGGAAACTACTTTGATATTAAATAAAATCAGAATGAGATTAGGTTATAAACATTTTTATTTATTCACTTTCTTTTAACTGGTTATTTTCGAGCTTTCATTGAAAAGATTCAATCGTTAACTCTAGTCGAGAGATATTTTTTAAAAAGAAAATATCTACTAAGACCATCATTCAATGAATGGTATTCAACCTTTGCTAGTTCCAAGTAGTTGTCACTTGATCTAATGTTCTTTAGTTATTCAAGAAAAATATATGGGGAATACTGAGATCTAAGTATTCTGTATTAGTATTGTAATGACAATGGTAAAAAATGATTTACTTTATTGTAGGGACTAGAGAAAGATGCTCCTTTAATGTAGTTAGTACTGACTATTTATAAAGATACACCTTTTATCTAAATATGGCATAACTTCGATATCTCTAAGATATACAGACCTTTGGAAGTAATCTATAACTGTTTATGTTGATTGACAATTGAGTAATGATGTGAAACATTACTACTTTATTGAATTATCCTTTTAATTAATAAATTTCTAGTTCCATTGGATCTGTTGAAGGTGGGAAATCTAAACGTGATGATTATGATTTCACCCAAACTATGCGACGTTTGGGATTAGATGATGATATGAGTGGGTCAAATGATTCACTTAACGGTCAAGGTGCTTATTTGTCATTTTTACATCTAAGACACTTGAAATTAAGAGATTTAATGCGTACAGTAAGTAAATTGTTATTGTATTTATTTTCTTATATTACTTGCTAACTTTTTGACAAATGAAGGGGGTTGTGTAAAGAAGGTCGATTTTACACATTAATCTAATGCTCAGGTTGATAATCATCCTTTATTTATGAATTTGCTCAAAACCTATTCAAACTAGTTAGCGTTGAAAAATTGTAATTGTAAATTGCTGAACATTACTGATCGATTATGTATAATAGTATTTTATAGTGTTTGACTAGGTGACTTACACTTAAAACATTTTTGAGTTGTTCTACAATTATAAGATGAAAGAGAAAATGTTCTTGGTTTTAGAATCTGCATCTCATAAAAAAACAAATGAGCTTCACTATTTACTCATACAATATAAATATACCCAAAAACATGAACACTGAAGACGAAGTTTTGTTTACTGAACTTTTTTAGCTTATCGACGTAATGAAGTTCTACCGTTGTTGTAAGCCTATGTTACTACTTTCAAACTTTCAGTTTTGTCCGGTTACAGGAACAGGCTTTAAACAATAATGAAGTAGTGTATAGTTTTTCATCCTAATTTAAAAGATAACAGCTACTTATTATAAAATCAGTTCCAGTAATTATTGATCTAAACGGAATTACATCTATAATTAGCTTTTCTAATATTATTAAATCACTACTCTGTAGCGTAAATGCACGGTGATGGCGTAAAGATTTTATTTTACATAATTCAAGTTAAATCAATGTTACCACCTTTAAAAAACACCCGATTGAAGTAGCAGATTTGTTTTTCTTGCTACTGTTTAAAAGGTACCAATGAGGTCTCTGAATTCAGCTCTTTTAGCTGCTCCGTTTCACACAGTTTTTTCAACCCTGTATATCTTTCTAGAACTGTGCACATATGTGATTTTGCAAAACATGATTTATTATCAATTTTATGAATGATCGATTACCTATCGGAAAGCACAAGAGAATTTACATGTTCGATCTTTTTTTGTCATGGCCGTATACTATACTTGCAGTCTTCATGACCTTCAAAAAAGCTTTGTTGTTTGGTGTATTATTTTATCTTTGTGAAAAGCTCTGAAGAACTCATGAATTCCCTCAAAATTTTCTCAAATGTCTACCAACATTTTTAGCTTTAATCCTCATGTTCACAGAATACACCATGTATGCATTTTATTTCGAAAATACAAAGTGATGACAAAGATTACTTCCTGTTTAGTTTTGTAAATTATAATCATGAGTCAATAATTATACAATAATTTGAATACATTTTACGTCATTCACTTAGAAACTTCTGTGATTACTAGTTTAACTTACATCACTACAGAAGAATGGCTATGAAGTGATCTAGAATGTAGATAATTATTTATATGATGGTTATACACTTCTCTAATTCTTTGTTGTAGGGAGAATTTCGATAATCAAAATGTACATTATTAACACAATTAATTTTTACTATGTTTTATTAAAGTAATAAATACTTCTGTTGGTTACTTACTTTGTTTTTAATCTATAAGCTAATTGGTCTATTCTAACAATTTTTTTCTTTTCACTTTTTCCAGTGTATATCTATTTTAAATTATTTTCGATCAATTGAACGAACATTAACGATTAATGATCAAGGTTTATCAATAAATGGCAAAGATGGAGTAGAACGCATGTAAGCTAAGTTTTCTTTTTCTTCTTCTTCTTCTTCTTCTTCAGAAACATATATTGTATCAAACAATTGAGGTTTCAAACAATTTTTAAAATAAACACCAATAAATATTTAATTGAAACCCGAATTTATAAATTAAATTGATTTTAAAAAGTTTTCATAATAGTGAACATTTGTTTTAATGCAGTACACAGTTTACCCTTTACTTCAATATTCAAGTATTTAATTTTCTATTGTTTATGAATACCTTAAGTAGACTAATTTATTAATATAAAATCAACTGCATTTAATGCAAGTGTTTGTGGATGTTACTTAAAGAGTATAATACAGTGAAATAAATTCGGGAAGAGAAAAAAAAGAGACAAGGAGGAATAAAGAGATCAAAATTTGGGAGAACACAAAGAGTGTATGCACCTGCGCCATTGCAAACGATTTTGAGCCATGTCATTCAGGGTCTCTAACCATCGGTTACTATCATCTCGCGATCCTCAACCAGGTAGTCTACACCTACCAACATGACTCAGACCACTTGTCAGTGACTTCATGGACTTGTGCCATGTTTTGGTCTGGCCACCCCTAGCTTTCCTCCAACCTACTCCTATACCACTGAACATCGCACATCGAGGCAGTCGGTGGTTGGGCATACGTAACACATGTCCCAGCCATCTCAACTGATGAAGTTTCACTACTTTATCAATTGATTTGCCATCCTTACCTAGTACCCGTTTCCTAACAACTGCATTACTTACTCGATGGTCCCACGATATACGAGCAATATTTCGAAGACACCTATGATCAAATACTAGTAACCTACGGATATCCTCTACTCTTACCGGCCATGTTTCACTGCCATAAAGTAGGACGGAACGAACTGCTGCGCAGTAAACACGTCCTTTGGTTGATAGACGGATATCTCGCCTACGCCATAAATGACGCAAGTTGGCAAAAGCTAGTCGAGCCTTCTGTATCCGTGCTGAGATTTCGTCACACACCAGACCACAAGGGCTGATGAGACTTCCAAGATAAGTGAAGCGGTCGACACACTCAACTACTTCACTCCCTATCATTAGTTCGGGTGTCGATGCAACCCAATCCTGAAGCAACATTTTGCATTTCGAGGGGAGAATCGCATCCCGAACATGCTTGCATTGTTGCTTAGAGTGGTCAGAAGACTCTGCATTTTGTCAGCGTCTTCACCAAATAAAACTATGTCATCAGCATATTCTAAGTCAACAAGTGAACCTCCCGGTAGAAGTTCAACCCCTGGAAATTTAGATGAGGAGAGTGTTATCTCTAAAAGTACGTCGACCACAAAGTTGAACAAGAATGGGGAGAGTGGACAGCCCTGACGAACACCACTTGAGGTAATCAATTCTGATGACAGTTCGCCATAAGCTCTCACTCGACCAGTTGTGTTCGAGTAGAGAGCCTTTATAAGGTTAATGTACTTCTTTGGTACTCCTTTCAGTGACAAACACTGCCATAGAACCTCACGATCAACAGAGTCGAATGCCGCCTTAAGGTCGAGAAATACTACCATTGTGGGGCGTCTGAATGTGTGTCTGTGTTCTAGAACCTGACGTAGTGTGAATATCTGATCTATACAACCACGTCCAGGTCGAAAACCAGCCTGGTTTTCTCTAGTCTGCTCTTCACGAGCTTTGATTAGGCGTCGAAGTATTATTGAAGCTAATATTTTAGACACTATATTAGTCAAACTGATTCCTCTGTGATTGTCACAAGAGGACTTTTGTCCTTTCTTAAAAACTGGCACAATCAGTGATTGAGACCAGTCAGATGGGATTACGTCCAGTTCCCAAATTCTACCTAAGACCTCAGTTAATCTCATTGCTAATACTGGACCACCATCCTTAAAAATCTCAGGAGTAAACCTGTCAGGGCCTGCTGCTCTCCCTCGTTTCAGATTTCCTATGGCTTTTTCAACTTCGTAAAGGGACGGAGGACCTACATTAACTTGCCATTCAGGTTGACTGGAGATCGTGGGAAACCGAAGTGTGGCTGAAGGCCAGTTGAACTGATCCCTAAAGTGTTCTGCCCATCGATCCAATCTCCTGGATTGAGAATGAATAATATGTCCATCTTTCTCTGAGATTGTTTCGCTAACGGTCGGGTTCCTAATTCCGGTTTCCTTAACGAGTCTGAACAATTGTCTGCTATTACCTATTGCCGCTGCCTTTTCCATCTCTCTTGCTTTCGCTACCCACCACTGTTCGCGATCATTGCGTAGACTTCTTGTCAGCTTGCGCTTAAGCTGACTCCGCTCTTCATTATGTTCAGAGCCAGGTGGAATGAGTTTCCGAGCATCTATCAGTGCGATAGATGCTGCTGAGATCCAGTGTTGCTCCCTAACCTTCTGGTTTACCTTACTAGCAGATATCACTGCTGTTTCCACAGCTTTTCGGATATCATTCCATGCTGCATCGGGGTGGGCATCACATACATGGCTGCCTAACTGTTTTCCTAGTTGTTCCTGAAATATACTCTTAGCTTGACTATCATTAAGTAGGCCCTAAGAGGTTTCCTTGCAGCGTCTTTCCTACGTCCAGTAAGACGCAAGCAAATACGCGCTCGCACTAGAGCATGATCTGAATCTAGGCATGTGCTCCAGAATGAGCGACAGTCTTCTATCGAGCCCCTCCATCGGTGGCTGATAGCGATGTGATCTATTTGGGTCCAACGTTGGGACGAATTAGGGGGTCGCCATGTTAAAAGATGTTTTTCCTTATGCTTAAAGTTAGTATTTGCAAGGAACAGGCGGTTATCTGAGCATAGCTGCAACAGACGGTCGCCATTATCTGTTCTTTGAGCCACGACACCATAAGATCCACCTAGGTGTCTTTCCCTATCGCTTAGTTTACCTACTTGAGCATTAAAGTCACCGGCCACTATTACTACATCCGAGCGCTTAGCTTTTCGGAGAAGGTCCGAAAGCTTTCTGTAAAACTCATCTTTTACATCATCTGAGCTGCAGTCAGTGGGAGAATAGGCAGAGACGACGAAGAGGCAACGACGAGTGTCCCTATCTTTCCGGATTCTTACTGTTCCGTTCAGTCGGACAGCGCACAAACGACTGTCTACTGGGATCCACTCTAAGAGAGCTAGTTCTGCCCTAGGACTCAATGCTATACCTACGCCGGCGAGGCCACGGGAAGCAGAATCAGGGCTTCCAGATACACGAAGCGTAAATCGAGTCGGTTCTTTATTTTGGCATGGTGAGGTCAAATGAATGACGCTACTTGGATCCTGTATGCGCGTTTCGGAGACGCAGCACACATCGATGGCGCGAGATTCTAAAGTTTTAGCTAAGGAAGCCTGCTGTCCTATTTGGCAAAGTGTTCGTACGTTAAAAGCTCCTACGTGTAGTTTAGAGCGTGGTTTCAGGAGACCAGGAATGGCGTTCCACGTACTCGAATCGTTTGCCCTAGCGGTGCGAGGTGATAAAGAGACGTGAGGAGGGTTAGTCATGGAGATAAGAGAGGTATTAGGAGGTGTAGGAAGGATTTGAATGTGACCACCTTGGTCTCTTGTGCTGTTACGGGTATGAGGGCTGATGTCACTTCCCGGCTGCCCACACCGTGGAAGGGTATTTCTTGAGGAACCTGAAAAGGAAATTGGATTAGTGTTGGTCTTGACGACCTGGGAGCGTGACCGCAGAGCCCAAGGGACAACTGCTTGAGGCCGGTCGCGCACGGCCTTTTTGTGGAAGGTTTTTGACGTGTTAGCTCCGTTCTTCAAAGGGCCTTACCGCCGGAGACGGAAATCCGTGAGGTAAGGTGAGGTGTGACATTTTTAGGGTCGACCTTTTCTAACCCCACCCCTCCTTGTGGGAAGGCAGCATCGCTGTCATGCTGGTTGTCCGAAGGAAACACCTTACTGCTGTCACACCCCTCTACAGTCAGCAGTACGACTTCGCCCTCAGACCTTGAGTTGCTGCTTTTAGTCTTACCGTTCTTCAATCGACCTGCCTGGCATGGTAGAACCTACAGGAACATATGTTCCAGCCAATATAGCTCGGTTGGGTCATCACGATAGGCAAGCCCGACCACCGCGTCAAGGTAGCAGCTTCGGTCGGGGTCTTACTATACTTGGATTAGTTGAAGTTAAACATTAACACCGTTGGATGTCGGCTCAGTGGTCTATTGGTTAAGCGCTCACGCGCGTGACTGATATCTCCTTGGTTCGAGTCCTGTAAGGTGAGATCGTGGATTCGCACTGCTGGCTCCCACACTGAGACGAAACGGCTGTCCAGGTTTTTCATGATGTTCTAGGTTCAATTGTCTCATGCATTCAACTATCAAGTTAATTAAATGCATTAATTTTTATATAAATGAAAACAACGAATTAATGTCATTCTCATACATAGAGTAGTTTTTTATTTTGTTTAATTACTTACCAGTCACAAGATGTTTAGAAAAATTCAAAGGATTTAAGATTAATATATCATATAAGAAGGCGGTCAGCTTAAATACCTAGGCTACCTAATCCTTTCATCTGAATATTTAAACAAGTTATCTTTTTTGTTTATTCTAACACATCATTATGCCTATTAGTCTCATAACCTATTCAGATGCGTTTGGGAAAAGTTTACAACATTTCACTGTACAAGTTACAAAGGAGTTCAATTAGAGACATTGGAAAGAATATACAGTATTCAGAAAAGGTTCGAAAGAATTATTATTTAGCAAACATATTTTTTAAAAACCACTACTTTATTACACTTTGTGGTGATTGGAAACATTAGATTACATGGTTCAAAATCGGTTACAATGATGCAGATTTATTTACTCTTTACCTACTATTAGACCATAAGTTTAAATTATTTATGTTATTTATTTTATGAATTCTTTCGAATTAAATTATTTGTATGCCTAATTTTCTTAACTGTCGCTGAAACTACTACTTCTATTACGTTGATATTTGTTGTTATAATTTGTCGTTTGAATGGTTATTGTCTTGGCTCTTTTAATGCTACTTTTTGTACCTGGTCGTCGCTGATTGTTATGTCGGAAACGCTTATCAATTATACTAGGAACGAGGGACCTCTGCGATTCCCACGACGCAAAAGTAAGAACACAAAGACTGATATGAATGTAGTGAAGAGAACACGGGTGGGGTCAATCGAATGTATTTAACACAAAATTACAGGATTTGTTAATAAAATCTAACAATCATAAAGTAAATGCTTAATTTGCAAAATGTCCATCGATTGTCTCAAAATGACTCAGACTTCATTGTTCTTGCATTTTCATACAAATTGCATCCTGTTTCCATTCTTTACTGTTCGATCCTCTTGTCTCTCTGCTGCCAAACATGTTCACGACTAACACCATATACTACTTATGTCAATATAAGTAGCACACACCACATAAGTGGTGATTTATTAACCCCAAAACACGACAACGACTCTAGTAGAAAATACACTCATTTATTAATTGACAATCCACCCATTTTCATTAATAATTAGAATGTAGCAACATATATGAAAAATACTTAGAGTTATAACAAATCACATACTGAGCATAGTTCATGTCAATGGAATACAAGAATATCGCATATTGTACAGAATAAAATATAATACGAGAAAAGAAAACAAATACTACATTGAGTAATCATTACATTGAATCAAAACTCATAATGAGTAAATCAATGGAAAATTGACTTTTCTTTCCATCATATCATTTGTCCAAATCATTTTATCACTCTATGCAGATGTGTGATTACTTCGACTGATTTACGTACGTACTCGGTTCAATGTTGCTTATTATCGACTGATTGTATGCCTTAATCAGCTTCAAGAAATTATAAAATTTAGATTTTACAGTAAATATTGTGGGAAAATTCCTAGTTATGTTATCATATTTTCCATCTGGATATTAATCTGTTAATGACATTTTGGTTAATTCGCCATAAACTACTGATCACCAATTCGTAATCATCTTTATGATGATGATTTTAGTTTCAATAAACACTTTTATTCTATCATCTTATATTAATTAAAGTCAGATTTTACTGAATGTTAACGAATGATACAAGTACTATATATATATATATATATATATATATATATATATATATATATATATATATATATATATATATATATATATATATATATATATATACTTGCTGTTTACTATGAAATCATTTTAAAGCCAAATAAAATAACTTTTGAAAAATATCAGAAATTTAATAAATTTCAATTTTATTTACTTAATAGTAGAATTCTGTTTAGTTACAAACTATTTACATTTTTCAGAAGTCCACAAAATCATCGAGTTGGTGTAGATGGTCAAGATAATCAACGTTGTGGGAATTCATTAAATGTTCATGTTATCTTTTTAATACACCTCAAGAATTTAAGTAAATCTATGCCTTTAAATTAACAAAACATTTATCATATCAAATCTGTTACTAATTTTAAATTATTCATCAATTCACTTTGATTAATTGAAGTGTTTAATACAGCCTAATTAACTATTTCCTTTGGTTTGTTAGCGCTGAAAATCCCATTCATCTAAATACACTTGACCAACTATATCACAATAGACATTTTTCTATATTTTTGAATTAAATTAAAGAGTATAGGTGCAGAATAAATTGAAATTTACACCATAGCAGTGTACAACATTCATTGTATTCATGACTACTTTCTACGAAATTTGATCAGTATAATCAACGATTGCAGATTTTTTAAACTTTCATGCTTCAATTTACTAGTGAATTATCGATAATTACTATAGTCTACAAGCCACCAAATTTTGTGGTTCTTTGAAAAATATTTCATAATAATGATCACTTTAAGAAAGATATTATGAATTAGAAAAATGTAACGAAGTTGATAGTATTTAAGCAAACAGTACTAAAACTTTATTTTACTCCTTGCCGAACTAACTATACGATGAATAATGTTTGATTAGAGATGAATTACAAGGGATTTTGATTAATAAGATTATTAACAACCCGATAATAAAATGTATCTAGTCATAACATTGTACAAGGTAGATTTAAATAAAATATTTCACTACTTACTCTCCCCCCTTCCTATTTCTTCTGGTGGTCGACTGGATTATGAAGACCTCGACATTCGAGGCAAAGCACAGAATAAAATGGACAGCTCGGAATCAATTGGAAGATTTGGACTTCGCAGACGAATTATCCCTTCTGCCCCATACACACGAACAGATGCAGTTGAAGGCAACTAGTGTAGCAACAGTCTGCATCAGTAGGCCTCGACATACACAAAGAAAAAGAGCAAGATTCTCAAATACAACACGGAGAACACCAACCAAATCATACTTGGTGGAGAAGCTCTGAAAGATATGGAATCTCTCACCTACCTGGGAAGCATCATCGATGAACAAGGAGGATACAATGCAGACGTAATGACAAGGATTGGCAAAGAAAGGGTCGCATTCCTACAGTTGAAGAATATATGGAACTCAGGACAACTGTCAACCAACATTAAAGTCGGAATCTTCAATACAAACGACGAGACAGTTCTACTGTAAAGGGCTAAAATTTCGAGAACTACTACAACTATCACGAAGAATGTACAAATATTTATAAACAATTGTCTACACAAAATATTCAATGTTCTTTGGTCGGATACCATCAACAACAGCTTACTGTGGGAGAGAAGAATCCAGCTGCTAGCTGTAGATGATATTAGGAAAAGACGCTGGAAGTGGATAGGACACACATTGAGAAAATAATTAAACTGCATCACGAGGCAATCGCTAACTTGGAATCCGGAAAGGAAACAAGAAAGAGGAAGTCAAAAGAACACCCTACGTCGAGATTTGGAAGCACACTTGAATAGGATGAATAACAACTGGAAAAGATTGCCCAGGATAGAGTTGGATGGATAGTGCTCCTCCACGAGAGGTAACAGGCGTAAGTAATATTTAAGGATGAAACTGGATTAATAAATTACATTTAAAAGTTGTAATCTAAATTAGGAAAATGTATGTATACCTTTTTGTATATAAATAGTATAAATGTTTTCAAAATATAATTTTTCGCAATTTCTAATACAGAGTTAAAGAATTAGAATTCATGCAGTTTGCTGAAGTAGAAAACCATGATGATTTTTATTATCATGAAGAAGGTAGGATACATGTCAAAGATCAAGTTGGTTATTGGATTGTATATGATTGTGCATTGAATGATTTCAAGTAAGTATGAAATAAAACAGGAATAACAGTAAAACGTCTGTTAAAATTCAAAATTAAGTTTGAGTTTAGATGAGAACATGAACACTGAAATGCGGGTACATTCCGTTGACTAGTCTAAAGTAGGACGAAACTCACATCATCATTCAACTCGTGAGTAAATGACATTATCGAGACAAACCTTTCAGGATGCACTTTTGCTAACAGGGACCGATCAACTGCAATCCTTAACGTAAGCAAGGGGAAAATACAAATCCTTAAAATATATCAAGATCGTTGAAATAAATAAAGTTTAAAACCATATAAAAATCGATCTATGGTTTCTGGATTAGAGATTATATCAAATACTATACTCATTGAATTAATGAATAACAAACATGTAGATTCATTTTTTGCTAATTCATAAAATTATGTAAAATCACAAACTCATGATAAATTAACGAAATCTATCGTTGGCTCATCATCTATTCACTCAGTAACGTAGAACTTCGTACGTACGTACATCAGTTCGAGTTGCCATACCACATTAACACACAGATACAATTGTCGATTCAGATCACGTAATGGTAGAGGTAATATGAGTACAAGCATTAGTCAGAGAGATTAGAGTTTGAAGATGTTATTCAAGAAGTATAATCCCGTGAAATAAATTTGGAAAAATAAAAAACGGACATGAAGAATTCAGAAGATTAGAATTCGGGTGAACACAAAGAGTGGTTGCACCTGCACCATTAAAAACGATTTTGAGCCATGTCATTTAAGGCCTCTAACCATCGGTTGCTATCGTCTCGCGGATCTCAACCACGTAGTCTACACCTACCAACATGGCTCGGTCCACTTGTCAGTGACTTCATGGATTTGTGCCATGTTTTGGTCTGGCCACCCCTAGCTTTTTCCAAACCTACTCTTACACCATAAAGCATCGCTCGTCGGGGCAGTTGGTGGTTTGGCATACGTAACACATGTCCCAGCCATCTCAACTGATGAAGTTTCACTACTTTATCAATCGATTTGTCATCCTTACCTATTACCTGTTTCCTAACAACTGCATTAATTACTCGGTGGTCCCAGGATATACGAGCAATGCTTCGAAGACACTTGTAATCGATTACTAGTAACCTATGAATACCCTCGTTGGCTTATAATTATTTCCAATAGTTATTACAAAATATTGAGTAAACCCTACCTTTTAAAGATAAAAACAAATTGTGAAATCAATTCATTTGAAATTTCTGTTGATCGTTTGGTTGTAAATTATTAATCTTGCTTGTAGTGATTTTTAGAATTACTCAATGCAATATAGAATTTGTTTACAAATAAATTCATTATTATTTATCTAATGACAATTATTAACTATTTTTATATTTCATTTCAACTTTTCAAGTCTTATTTTTACTGTTTTATGTATTTCTCTATGAATTAGTAACTAATACGAAAATGGCTTTTATATTTATTTAACTTACAGAGAACTGGAACATGATTTACTTTTAATCGCAACAAAATTTTTGCAAAACAATAAACCAGTTCGTATCTCTGTTGATCACAAACAAAAATCCGCAATAATCGATGTAAGTGTAATTGGTAGAATGTAGCCTATGAAATGAATATTATATTACTTTTATTATTTCCTTATTTGCTTTTATTTTTAATTGGTGATGTAATGCACGGCAACATGCAGGAGGAATGTGTATTTATTGTGAAAGTTACAAAGTATTTCCATAAAACCATGTACATAGCCTTCAATCGTCTAGTTGCATTTTCCGGTGTGTTCTACAATCTGAACTGTCTTCTTGATTGACCTCCAAGCGTTCTGCCACCATCGTGCTTTGGAAGCACTGAAACTCTTTAATCTATCCTATGATTGTTGCACCTTTGGTGTCACTTTCCGATACACACTATTTACAACTATCCTTGTCAGTAACGTCTACTATAATATATTAGAAAAATGTAAATAATTAGTATAAAAAACATAAAGTCGAACAACTTTAATTAGCGTTTAGTTACTGTTGAAGATGTTTCTACTTTCAGTCTACAAAACAATACTGGAGATCGAAACCTTAGTGTGTGATGCACATCTTCAGATGACATTATCATTACAAACTGAAACTTGGGGAAATTCAGTTGAAAAGTGTAGAACTAGATTGAGAGAGCTGGTTCAACAAGGTTCATAGTTAACGACATTTCAAAAAACTGTTATGAGCAGTCAATGGTTATCTGTTTACAAATAATAATGATTTATAATTTCAATTTAAACATGAATTTCTTCTGACGGTCTGACGGAGTTGAATTGACAAATGTTTTGTAAATATGAATAGGATTTACATCGCAGGCTGACTTCTGCTGAGTAACTGATGAAAACCTATCAGTGGGCTCCTGTTATGCTCTAACTCATCGAACATGAGGTTATTAAGCGCATTACCTTCAGGTCAGCCAGCTGACATTCAAACGTCTGTTGGATTATGTATCTTCAAACTGAAAAATTTAAATAAACGCCCTCTTTCTATTATTGTGAAAAACCAAAACATTTTCGTAAATCAATCTTCTACGTTTAGGTCATTTTGCAGATTCTTTACTCCTATATTTCAAAAATTTACGCTGAATATCAACTTATATATACTTCTTTAATTTCTTTATTTGTCTTGGGTGTTTAAAGGCTACGTTTTTGAATTATTGTTGATGGAATATGATATTATATAATTAAATGAAGACAGTATCGGTTGATTACCAGTGTTTCCAAGGCGTTTAACTTACCTAAACACAAATAATAATCATTTTATTCTTACATAAGATGTAAGGTAGGATACGAATATTAACCACTAAACTAAAAAGAAAATTTTTTAGTATTCATATGACTGGTGAATCAATGAATTGTAGCAGCTAGTCATAAGAATACACAATCTCAAATCTTGGGTTATGTCATTTTAAATTAACATGTAAAATCATAGAATATTTCAATTATTGTTAGTGTAGCACTAATTTGAACTGTTGTTTGTACAAAAAGTGTATCATAAATGCACACATTGTATTCGAATATGAAAGTTCAGAAATTCTGTATGTTAAATATATGTAAATCACGAAGTAAAAAGTTTTCTTTTCACTGGGTTCGAAGAGATTTAGTATATGGTCGTATATTTAATTTAATATATATTTATGGTATTAGAATTGTATCGTGTATAATACTCTTTCTAACTACTCATCCTGATAAACTTCAGGTAAAATAAATTATTAATTGCTAACTTAATTGAGTTTGATTATCATGATTATGATGATGATAATGACGATGTTAACTGTAATAATAATAATAATAATAATAATAATAATAATAATAATAATAATAACAATAATAATAATAATAAATGTCTCTCCACTTTGTACCTAAGAATGATAGGGAAGATTTCGATATTGCTTTATATGCTCATCGTGAGGTGGATCGATTCGGTATATTATACGACATTTGGTCAAATGAAACTGCTTTTCAAGAAGTCAAGAAAAATGTGAGTGTCTTGTTTAAAAATAAATTAATAATTGAAATTTAGTATGTAACGGAACCGGATGCATTAAATTAATATAAAGTTATTGTAATATTTTTTCGACTGTTTCACTATTGTTCTGCTTAAAATTTCTAAAAGATTAAATATATGGAATTTTAGAGAAACTAGGAACTAGAGTCCTTAAATGAATGATAATTTCTGTATAACATTATTATATTTTAAAAAAATTACTCTTTATGACATCTGTAGAAATAGCTGTAGGTCAGGATTAAAATAAATGGAAATTCCATACACATAGTCATTTTGAAAAGAGCAAAATAGCATCAATTCATTTTGTTTCGTAGGTTCTCGTCAGCTGCTTACAGCTTGTGATATTTAAAATCATAATTATATAATGGGTTGTCACAATCAATGTTGCAGAATGTTCTTTCAAATAAGGTATATATATTTACAATATTCAGTCTATTAATTTTATTTACACCCTTGCTATACTATGCGAATACGTTTTCAATATAACTTCCAACCAAACTCTTTCATGTAAGTAATTAAAACCCATTATGTAATTATAATTTTAAATATCACAGGTTGTAAGCAGCTGACGAGAACCTACGAAATAAGATGAATTCATGCTATTTCGCTCTTTTCTAAATGAAAATTATCACATTTTTTTTTGAAATTCACTACTGATGAAGCTACTGATTGGTATTTTTTTTAATTTTGTGATTAGTCATTATTGCTTTCATTAAATGTTTTTGTTTAGATTTTTTCAAAAAATGTAATCAGAAAAAGGTCGGTCACTAATTACGTACTTTATTTCATTTGGTTATGGATCTTATTAAAAAAAACATTATCTTTTAACTAATTTTCACCAAGATTCAAATTAAGAGTTCTACAAATGTATGGTTTTAAATATATATGAAGAATGTATTTAAAATGAAAGTTTATTTTGTCTAAGGATTCTGTAGACGCCTAACTTTCAGATCAACAGTCTGGATTTCATAAGGATCAATAGTGTACCAACCAAATCGTAACACTACGGATCATCGTAGAACAGTCAATTGTATGGAATTCATCACTTAACATCAACTTCATTGACTACGAGAAAGTATTTAATAAAGTGGACAGGACAAAGTTATTTTATCGACATTTCAGTAATTGATATTCAATGGTTATCAATTTTCATTTAGTAAACTGATTTGATCTTGTAAAAGGGATATAATTAGAACTGAATTTAATAGATTTCAGTCTTTAAGAATTTTACAAATATCATAGCAAGACTATAATTTATGGATGAACCAATCAGGTATAAGATAACAAGTCTCGGATTTCGGTGCGAAATTCACTTATCCATCTGGTGAAATAGAGTTTCGGCATTATAACTGATTTCAGTCCGAAATTTAATTCCTAACCTTAGTCATCAACTGTAAATTATAATTCCTCACACTGGTTTATAACCCTCATTTGGTCCTAGTTATCAGGTGAACACTCCCAAGGTCATTTTAGCGTTGCTCAAAGGTCGTTCATAAATTATAGTCTCACCAATATCATTTTATCTTAATAGAAATTATTGTTTAAAATTGTTTGTGTTTATATATATAATTCAAATAACTGGTACTCAACAGTTGCATGGTAAATCTTTATCTTAGTAATAAAATAACACCAGTCACTTGGTGTTATCTCCTAGTGACCTCTTTATAATTTTAAATTGATTGCAATCATCAGTTAATCAACATACATTAATCATAATACTCTTGTTGAATAACTGTTTATTTGTTGACAAAACATTTTTGTATGAAAAAACTCAAGCAAATAACAATCAAACAAAAACAAAACAATATAACATATTCCTTTAAAGTATTACACTTGATATACTTTAGAAATTTATTATAAAAACATAGTTGTTCTTTTGTTTTCTTATTTTAAAAAAGTTAATGGATATTTATTTAGAAGCATATAATCATATAATATCAAGAGATAGTCGGCGAAAATTATCACAAATGATGATTGATTTAATGTATAAAAGACCTAGACTAGATTTCAATGAAAATTACTTTATTACAGCTTATAAATATGAATGTGCTATTTTAAGACAACGCAAAGAAATAATGAAATCTATTTTAATTAATCAAGTAAGTTGAAATATAACTTCAAAATATTTTAACAATGTTCTATATGAATTCATGTTTGTATTGTTTGTTTGAATCTTCCCATTGATATTTATGACTGCGATCAATCAGTCTCTTTGGGCAAATGTGCATACCATGAGGATTGCTTCGATATAAACATTGAGTCACATGAGTTTTAACCAGACAGGTGGATGGTGAGTAGTAGTGGAATCCATGACGCGCATTTCGTCGTATTTCAGTTAGATGTACATGCATTAATGGAAAGATCCAAACAAACAATACAGAAATGAATTAAAACTTCACAGTATTACACAAGCAAGCGGCTATTTGGACTCAGTAGCTAAAAAGATAACGCGATGGCGTTTGAAGCGAACCGTACTGAGTTAGAGTTCCGGAGTGATCATCAACGCTGGGATGTAGGTACGTCTGGTTGACGTGTCCCGAACAGAATGAAACGCGCATCATGCACTGCTAGTTACCATCCGTTCTATACGAATATTTTAAGTTGTGTTGGATATATCTTATATGACCGGGAAGATAGTCCGATTTAGAATCATTTGTGAATATACATGGAACTTTAGTTTCACATTTGATGATCGATTTTAAGCTAAAATAAGTCAACATTGATGCTTACTTAACTTTGTGTTGGATAAAAGCACTTAGCAAATAGGGTATATACCTGTTTTAGTCTTAAACTTGACATTGAAATGTGAACTTAAAACTTCACGATCATGTGAATGAGATGACCTGTTTGAGTGCTTAAGATGTGGTCAATTAAAATCGATGCATATATTGATCTATAAGTCGGCACTACTTAATGGGTATGACCTAAACTAGGAAATAGTATTCAATAGCTTAAAATTCACAAAGCTTACTAAGCTATTCATTGAACATTCTTCATGATAAACGTGTTGTTCACTTACCTATTGTAATACTGTTTACCTCGATTTCTGCAACTAGTTTTCCAGGTGGATTAGCACTACAGTAGGTTTTACTCTTTATTTAAAGTGATAAAACTTTCGTTTGTATAGGTAATCATCCATATGCAAGTGGTGATGAGTATCAGAATTGAGTATTGAGTTACCATTTGTTTTAACACTTCAATAAATGGGGTCTCATAGTTCATTCTACCGGTTAAGTTGAGATATCCTCAAAGCTGAATTCAGTGGCGACGATGTTTTTTTTGGACAATAAGCAAAGGAGTTTAGAGTATAACCCTACTTCTCGAACCAAGCAATTCTCAGAAATCTATTATTCTAAGATTCTTTATAATTATTAGATATTACTGTATTATATCCGAAGCGATAATATTTGTACAGACCTAAAATAAAATCATCATTATCTATTTTAAGATGATCAGTTTCTTTCTTACCTCATGCATTTTTTTAAGATTTCGAACGAACGAGAATATTTGAAGAAACTCCATACAGATAAAGTAGAGTATGGTTTACCACCACCGTTGATAGAAAAATGTCTAATTGCTCCAAACACAGATGAGTAAGTTGTTTTACTAATTTAACGATCAAACTATGTTTCTTGTTACAATCACTGAATAATTAGAAAATTCAGAAACGTTTAAGGAAATAAAATCTGATGGGTTAATTTCGGAGTCAATGTTTACGTTAATTTACTTCTGGAAACGCAGTCATCAAAACGAAGACTACTTAAATTGTCAAAATATCCAAACCATATATTTTTAAAGTCTGTTTATTTCCAGATTTACTAGTTTTATGTACCCTAAATTGAACGCGCTCACGAAGAAAACTTCCGCACTGACATTTACTAATATTTTTAAGGTGGTGTCGAAAATAGATGTATGATAATCATTTGATCGATCTTCAAAAAGGCTATCTAATTAACGGTAAAATACAAATTTCCACATATTGTAATGTGGTTTTAATTATATATCATCAAACTAAAATGCTTTCATTTCAGTTTCACTCATCGATTTACAATTTAGTGTCAGAAGTCATCCAAACATGTATTTTTTCAAGACGTCTCTGAATATAAGTCAAGTGTTTCATTTCAACCAACATATTAATATCATACCATACCTTATATTGTGAGCGTAATGGGTACTTGATTCCCCTTGATTATTTAAAGTAGACTAGCATCTACTTTGAGCATTGTGTTGATATGACTTGCCGGAAACTACATAGTCAGTCAAAAAAATAATAATAGTTGACAATGTTTAGACCAAAAACTTTGTTAGATTATATATGTGTTCATAAGTTATAAAACGCTTCTTTTAAACTTTAAGTAATTATCGATTACAAGTTTTACCCTTACTTACTTACGCCTGTTATTCCTCATGGAGGAGCCATAGGCCGCCCACCAGCACTCACCATCCAATCCTTTCCAGTTCTTTCCAGTTTTTATTCGTCATTTTCATCTCTGCTTTTATTTCCTGATGTAATGTGTTCTTTGGCCTTCCTCTTTTCCGCTTCCCTTAAGGATTTCAAGTTAGGGCTTGCCTCGTGCTGCAGTTTGATGATTTGCGTAATCTATGTCCTTTCTATTTCCATTGTCTTTTTCTAATTTCCTCTTCAGCTAGAAGCTGGTTTGTTCTCCCCCATTGAAGGCTATTGTTGATGGTATCCGGCCAATGGATGTTGAGTATCTTACGCAGACAACTATTTATAAATACTTGTAACTTCTTGATGGTTCTAGGAACTACTACAACTATCATCAAGAAGGTACAAGTTTTACCTGGCTAGATTAAAAGAGTTTTTGTAGTGAACAATGTATTAAAGCAATTTACTTTATCTGCAAACAATTGACCAAAGGGTAGCAATAAAACACCTAGAACTAACGAAAAATGAGTGACAGATAAATACACAATAGTGTCTTTACTAGGTTATCTTTTAATTCATTCGAAAAAAATTGTTCATGAAAAGAGTATATGTTTTTTTAATTAAACTCAATTTCATAAGTAATGGCTTTTATGGACTCCCTATGAATCCGGTGTTCATCTTGTTGTGCTGATGCGGTATGGCAACCTGGACCGATGCACATATGTGCCTGGTCCTACGTTGTAGCTGACTGACTGACTGACTTATGGACTCCACCTTTTGTTATTTTAAACGTTTTGAGAAATTTAATATCAAATATAGCAATTCACTAAGGTTCATATATTTAGCATTTACAGTTTCGTCCACTTTTAATAACAGCACACATATTGAAAAGTATTTCTAACTTTTAATTGTTTGTTTCTGTTAGACAAACCGTTGTTAAGGTTAAATTATTTTGATAGAAATAGTTCTATATTTTCAACCATTTGATCGTTAATGTTAATTTATACATATATACATTTTTCTTCAAGGCCAGTATTATGTCCAGTATACTTATTAGAATTTCACCCGTCATTGGCATGTACACCAAGTTTAATTGAATCAATAGACGAAAGTGTACGTACAACAATTACTATGTTAACACCTAAACGTCAAATCCAATGCGTTATATTGGAAAAACTATTTTTTGATTATCTAAAATATGAAATTGATACATGGAGACCATTAGGAGCATCTTATACAGCACAAATTCAAAAAGATGTAAGTTTTTCAATGTATAACAGCGTGTAACTAGTTCAATAATAAATACATTTCAAATGTATTTGGTTAAATATATTCCAGTAAGAATGAATGAATTACTTCTTATTTATTAGAAGGATAATAAATAAATCGTAATCTCAGTTTATTTCAGTTATGGGTAAGCTAACAAAACACGGCGATGGGTGAATTAATGACAGTTAGTAGGACGTTTTATTGACCTGAAATCATGTTTATGAGGATTAACCAGTGGAGAACTTATACAGAGATAAAACTGCTCTTAGACTCTATGATATTGGAAATCACATTATTCAGTTTTTGTTGACAATTTTTTTGACTAATCTCCATAGTTACCTCTCCAACCAAAATAATCTATACTTCGCTAAAATATGCTAAACATTATGTTACAGTTTTCACAGTATTATTTAAAGGACTTAAGGTTTCACTTAACATGAACCATTATACTAAATTATTATGTATTTTTTGTTTATTTTGAAGCTTCAAGTGTGTTTCTTTCTTTTGTTTTATACTATGGTTTTCTGTTTTCGCTGTATCATCTACATACGATTATCACATAATGATAACATCTTTTTATGCAATCATTTGATGGAACAATTAGTTATTTTCACCTTATTTCATTGAAGATGTAGTACAAATGTCAGAGTTATGTAATCAATATATATTATCTGTGCAACAACGTAATCCACGTGGTGATAAGAAAACACGTCAACATTTTCTATTAAATGAATTAGGTCGTTTATCAGATTTGGTCACATTGCGTCATCGCCTACTTGATTGTATGTGGGAATGTGAAATTTTATCCAAATTATATTTAAGCATTTCTAATCGAATGGGTTTTAATGATTTCCATTTATTTATTCGACCATTACAATTTGAATCAGCCAAATACAAAGAAGGCGTTGAAGAATCGAAACCACCGATATATATTACATCTATTCACGATGATGATTCTTTATTGGATAAGTAAGCAGCTTAATGTTTCCGTTTATCGTCTTTATTTTGTTAATGTATCAATCTTTTTATCCAACATAGTTATTACGTGATGAATTTTTATTCAGCTGAATATTCTTTAAACGGCTACACTTATTACATAAATTAAAATCAAATTGACCTTATATTCCAAGTGTTAGAGCACTGATGTGGTTTGAGATTAAGACAAATGTTTTCCTAAAATAAACAAATATACTCTCTTAACGCTCTTCTCCATTTACTCTTATATACTTATCTGAACCTTAGCTTTCTGAATGACTAGCCGAAATTACTATCCATTAAACATTATTTTATACTAATCAAATTGTTTTTATTTTGATCTTCATACAATGTCGTTCATTGATATGTCGACTATCAGTAGAACCGTAGTGATATAACATTACCTGTACATATCTTATTATGTTGTGATAAATATATGTTAACCTTTTTTGATTAGTTGACTAAATTCAGTTGCGGTGTTCAAGGTACTTCGTGATTATACTTACTAAAACTAATCATTTTGTAAAAGAAGGGCAAACGTAATCGTTTGATGAAATAGCGCTTTTTTAAAAAAAATGACTCAATCATTACACAACCTTGATTTCAACAGCTAATGAAGATTAATCTGAAGAATAAAAAGCAGAATATCACTTATAATTTCTGTTGTAACGGGTGACTGCAGGTTATGATAAGCAGCGTTTATATCGATCGAATCAGTTACACGTAAAACACGTAGTGGACGACCTAGTGTCCTGATTGGTCCCGCTTCCCTGTCTAGCCCAGCCAGTTGAGTCTAGAACGCAAGTCACAGCCTCTGAGTTATGAGTCGTTATATTTCAAACATACTCTGTTTATATACCAACCAAACAGACCACATCGTACCATAAAAACAGAAAACAACATCTGTACAATATTTAACGAGTGAAATAAATAATGGCCAATAGGGAATGCCCATTTAGAGTCCAGGGACATCATTAGACTTAACATGATAATGATTGGTATATTCCTCAGCATATCTAACAATTTCGATGGCAAAATTTAGTTATTCAGCTCTTATCATCATTCCAATGTAGGTAACGTGATCAAGTAATATATATTGATTTATAAAGAAAATGATTCAGTCAACAAGTTCAATTCGAACCAGATAACAGTGGAGCTTATCCGCGTCGTGTAAAGACAGGTATCTGCCTCAGTACAATGCAAGATCGTCGCGCAATTTTGTGGATTGGTTGAAGTTAGACATTGACACCGTTGGATGCTGACTCAGTGGTCTAGAGGTTAGGCTTTTTGTGCACGAAACTGAAGGCTCTGGATTCGAATCCCGCGGACGGGATCGTGTATGTGCACTGCTAAGGAGTCCCACAATAGAACGAAACGGCTGTCCAGTGCTTCTAGATTTTTAATGGTGGTCTAACATCAATCAGTTCATGATCTCAACCAAAAACACTTTTAATTTTTCTTTATTCAGATTTGTATCTTTAAACCCCAGATAAGAATAAATGTCTATTCAACTGATTTTTATTTAAACTGTTTTATTTGTAACCATTTGGTTAGAAAATTTGTTCACTGATATTTTGTATTTTTATTCATCCAAATATTGTATGTCAGCTAATTAACTGAAATTGTAACTAACTTTTCTTCTAACGTACTAACTTATTTGAAATGTTTTTTCAGATATTTACCTTCTGCTTTGCCACTTGCTATTCACGAATTAGATGAAACACAAGTTGGAAAATTTTCATTTCGTGGCAAAGCGACTATTATGGAGGTTAGTATCTCTAGTAATTGAAGAAAAATTGTATTTATAAATTATTTTTCTAGATTAATGAAAGTATGTTATGCTAATCGTGGAGTGATGTGTCACTATTGTACAGTTTCCTATTATTTAATTACATTATTAAAATCTTGTAAAATAACGTTATACTACTGAAAACTATTTTAATATCAATAGTGTACTGTTTTGCAGTCTTCTTCGTGTTCGTATCCATTTTTGCCTGAGCTAAATAGTTTGTATCCTAAGTTTGAACTTGTTTTATTTAAAAGGATGATAAACAACGTAATCGGCTCTTTTGTCATTTTTTGTTGTTAAAATATTCGCTGCTTTATAATGTCACATACATAAATTTACCATATATTTGAAAACCTTACCCATCTGTCAATTTATTATTAGTATATTTGGTCTTCAGTAAATATACTGGTACAACGTGGCTTTAAATGAATCCTTAAATAAAGGACAAAATTGTCCAAGTTAGTATTAATTAAACATTTCTAGGTGTATAGAAAAGTAAAACCTTTTCATTGTTTAACTAGTGTTTGTAAATTAATATATTTCAAAAAGTAACTTTACGGAAGACCATCTTTTCTTAACAATGAGTATTCTCCAGTATATGATGTTAATCCCTATATCCCATTTGTATCTATGCCATTGATTCTGTCATATTATTGATAAAGTTGCTTTTGTGAACAGCCCATAACAGTTTATCAGTGTGTTCATTGTGTTGTATTTTTTTAATGAAATAACAATGAATTTCTCTCCTTATTTAAGAATATTCAACATTCTAAGTCACAAAACAAGGAGGGGTTTGACCTGTTTATGAATTTGTGTTTTCACCAAATGTTTTAATAATTAATACTCTAAAGTTATGTTTTAAGTAAAATTTTGATAATATATAACGAATTAAATGACAATTTTACATATTGTTTTGTTATTAATTTTAGATGCTTGAAACAAGGGGTATAGAAAATATGCTAACTGTATTGCAAGTACAAACTGTTCATAAAAATGGCTTGATTGCTGCTATTTTATTAGCGTTCAATGGATGTCCTGCATTTACACTTCGCATGCACCTAAATTCAAGTAATTTTTGTGTTTTACTTCAATATTAGTTCTAATTAGTCATAAGAAATTCGCTGTAACCACTAGTATAAGCAACAACTTTTTCCATTTTTTGAACCAGTATTTACTTAAATCATGAACCATTGAATGTTAGACCACCATTGAAAGCGTGGAAGCATTGGATGGCACAAGAACAAAGATTCTGGGTTTGAGTCTCGCGAGTGGGATCGTGGATAACACTGTCAAAGAGTCTTATAATAGGACAAAACGATTGTTCATTGTTTCCAGGTTTTCACGGTTGTTTTAGTATTAGTCGTTTCACGATTTCAAATAAAACTCAACTATCTCGCCAACCTTATACCGATAAAATCAATATTCGTCTGTACACTATTTCTTCCTCTACATTGTTTGCTTATTACGTATTAACCAATATCATGTATGTTAATTTATTACTGCTGATCAAATTCTGCTAATCAAGTTTCAATGTGAACACACGTCGAAGTGATTCAGTATCACGTACACTATGTTTTTGATGTGCAACTTACAGCCCTACGGTGCTCGCTGACTACCAAGAAAACTCAGCGATCATGTTTCAGACTAAGAATCTAGTTTATGCGGATTCAATTCTAATAGGAGACACAAGTAAATCCATCTGACGAGTGTAGAAGAGCATCAAACATAGGTCCAATATTTTTGGTTTATTAAATGTTTCTCCATATGAGCTCGAACTCGCGCAAAAATCTAGTTACTTTGTGAAAACCGAGGTTTATTATACCAACTATCATCAGCATGAACTGCCGTCAGTTGGAAGACCATTAAAAATAAACGAAATTAAACATCTCCATTTTTTAGAAAATATGAAGACTGTGAGAGAAACGAGAAATAACAAGTTAAGAATAATGTGTTAGTTATTCTAGGTCAAATGAAGAAAATATGTGATATTATCCGCACTGTTTCAAGTTGTGCCGTAAATATCTCGTAGTTTTTTGTTTTATTTACCACTTCATGAACTAAAATAACCACTCAAGATACTCCAACGAATCAATGCTAAGTCGTGAGGACTGGTAGATATAGTATGTACAAATCTAGTAAAGAATAATTTTAAAATCAATAAGTAATCATACTGATTTACACTAAATACTTGGTATTCATTTACAACAACTATTTATTATCTTCAATGTCATACTGTTTAGAAATGGTCTTATTCGTACTGTTGATACTGGAAATAACTCAGTAAATAGCAATGATGTCAGCGGCGCACGAATCGGTCCAACACCATTAGCTGTTGAGCGATCAACTCACCAACTGAATGCAGAATACTATCCAGAAGCATTTTTCTCAATTCAACTGGAAAAAGTTAGTTATAAAACAGTAAAAAGCATAATTTAGATTTAATAGTTTGATAGTTTAGGGGTAAGTTTTTCCCAATGAAATTATTTCATAATAAAATAGCTCCGATATTTGAACTAAAGATTATGAAGCATGTATGTTTCTAAACAGATGCTTAAATTATTCAACAAAATACTTTGTCAATATTTCTTTATTAGACAATGCTTCTTAATCAGCGCTTACTTTTGCGAAACATTTGGTTTCAAGATTATTTTGTGTTTATTTAGATATTACAAACAAAGTCACTTTGTCTTTATATCTTATCATTAAATGGTTTGCGTAAGATTGGAAAGAAAAAGCTATTTATGATAAATATATATACATATTCACTTACGTAAAGCTTTTTCAAAAGCTTTATAAGCGAAGACGGATAATGGCCAGCAGTGGAATCCAGGACGCGCGTTTCGTTTATCCATCTGATCAGTTCCAAATGGGACAAAACGCGCATTCTGGGTTCCACTGTTAGCCACTATCCATCTTTGCTTATAAAGCATGTGATTTAAGGCAATATCGAGACAGTCCGCACAGGATGCACATATGCTAACAAGAGATTGATCAATTGGAGTCCTAAATAACAATGGGAAAATACAAGTAAACAAAACTAAATGGATTTAAAGCTTGTCCAAAAGTTTTATCAGATTGTATTGTGTGATTTGTAAACTTTTCACATTATTTCAGCCATGGTTTTATATAAGATATTTTATGAATATCGGGATTGGTAATCAGATTATCTTGTTTAAATTATAAAATTCATTCGATGACTATGATCCATTGACAGTGATTTGGAAAATTTTCCTTATTTTGTTGTGCAGCTAGTAAAAACATTAAATATTTTGTTTTTAAAAGTCACAACGTAAAAAAATTATTTCTTCCTATTATCTTAAGGGACCAAGTCGAGATAGAGTATGCAATGCATTCATCAAAAAGACACAAGGTGGTGGGATCGCTGCATCTAAAACTACTGCGGAAAGTGAAAAAATAAAACGGTATTTCATTATTAATTTTGTTTATTCCTCAAATTTTTTCTAAAGTTGGTGTATGTAGCTGCTCATTTAAGATGGTAATTATTTGTCTTTAGGAAATAAATCATTTGATTTATGGTGTACATATAAGATTTTTTTAGTAATTAGTGAGACAATCAAAGCTGTTCCTCCGCTCAGTACTCTATTTTGAAGATTATACCGATGAATGATTGAAAACAAGGGGATATAAACTGAAATTTATTCTATCTAAATACATTTTTTCAAAGAGGGCATATATATTTTACTTAGAAATCGTTTAATATTTCACTCTTCTTTCACCTTCTTATGACTACGGTAAAAACTTTTATTTATTTGAATGAAATTATGAACAAAATACCATTAAAAAATAATGTTTTTATGGTCTGTTGTTTTTCAATTTCTGATTAGGTCAGACTAAATTTATTCTTTTATTGTTGTTTTCTTTTTCAGTGAATTTATTTCACAATTTTGTCACGATTACTGTGAACGTGTACAACATGCATCGCTTAGAGCACAAATTATTGAAACTTATAATTCAATATTAATTACACTCGAAAATGTACCAGTTATACGGTAGGATTCTTCAGTTGTCAGTTAATGAATAATGTTACTTATATAAGCCTTAATATTTACTATATGAATAAAAAATAATCCGATTCACAAAAAGAGAGAGGAATTAAAACGATTAGAAGTATTGTTTTCTATGTTTGGTTCATTTGTCTGTTCATTGTTTTCTAAAACAAATGTTCCTTAAATAGTTTATTCAGTCACTGACATTTAATAAAAATATATCGACAAATTCAGAGCTGCAAATCTAGTGTTGAAATCGGCTATGAAAGTCATGCATGCAATACTTTGGGAGTTGTCATCAAAGAATCTTTGATTTTGACTACGACTACTGGAAACCAAGTTTGATTAATGTTGTTCAAAGTTTAGAATATTGACTTTTGAGTGTAACAAATATGAGTTCAATCTGTATGAAAAGGTAATAATGGATGCTATAGTATGCCAATGTATCTAAAAAGACTGTTGTTCACCACAGGCAATGGAAGATGGTCATGTAATATCGTAGATTGATCGAAATTAAACATTAATCCCGTTGGATGCCGGTTCAGTGGTCTAAAAATTATTCGTTTGCGTTCAAGACCAGAGGTCTTGGATTAGATCCTCGATCACAGTCAGTCAGCTACAACGTAGAACCACGCACACATATGCATCGATCCAGGTTGCCATACCGCATTTGCACAGCAAGATGAACACCGGATTCATAGGAGTGGTTAGGTCAAAGGTGCTAATATATGGGAGAAAAATTGCATATAAGGATACAGTACAGGAAGAAAGAATTAGTTAGTAGGAAGAAAGATATGAAGTGATTTTAATCTCTAAGTTTGAGGGAAGACAGGGAGTGTATACACCCACGCCATTGTGATCGATTCTGAGTCATGTCACCAAGAGTCTCCAACCATCGGTTACGAAAGTCACGCGGACCTCAACCAAGTAGTCTGTATCTACCAACATGGCTCAGACCAGAAGTTAGTGTCTTCAAGCACTGATGCCACGTTTTGGTTTGGCCGCCCCTAATTCTCTTCCAACCATCTCTAACACCCGTTAGCATTGCACGACGTGGTAATCGGTGTTCAGGCATACGTAATACGTGGCCCAACCATCTCAGTCGATGAAGATTACCAACCTCATCAACTGATTTACCATCATTACCTAATACCGTGCGTCTAACCTCACTATTACTTACCCGGTGATCCCAGCAGACGCCAGCAATATTTCTAAGGCATCTGTGGTCAAATACTAGTAGTTTACGAGTGTCTTCTACTCTTAATGGCCATGTTTCGCTGTCGTAAGTTAGGACAGAACGGACTGCCGTGCAGTATACTCGTTCTTTTATTGATAGACGGATACCTCGCCTTCGCCATAGGTGACTTAAGTTGGCAAAAGCCAAACGAGCTTTTCGAATCCGTGCTGAGATTTCTTCAGACACCAACCCATCAGGGCTGATCAGACTTCCAAGATAAGTGAAGTTGTCAACGCGTTCGACTACTTCACTCCCTATCCTTAGTTCAGGTGTTGACGCAGACCAGTCCTGAAGCAACAACTTGCATTTAGAGGGAGAGAAGCGCATTTCAAACATTCTGGCATTGTTGCTTAGTGCTACCAAAAGACTCTGCATTTTGTCAGCGTCTTCACCAAACAGGACTATGTCGTCTGCGTATTCCAAGTCGACAAGTGGACCTCCTGGAAGGAGATCAATACCCGAGAATTCAGTCGACGAGAATGTTATTTCCATCAGTAGGTCTGTGATGAAGTTAAGCAAAAATGGAGAAAGTGGACAGCCTTGACTGACGCAAAAGCAGATGACAAGTCGCCATCAGTTCTGACTCGACTAGTGGTGTTCGAGTAAAGAGCCCTCACAAGGTTTATGTACTTCTGAGTTACGCCTTTCAATGACAGACACTGCCACAGAATGTCGCGGTCTACGGAGTCAACTACTGCTTTTAAGTCAAGAAAGACCACCATTGTCGGACGCCGATAGGTATGCCTGTGTTCTAGAACCTGACGAATGGTGAATATGTGGTCGATGCAGCCACGACCAGGTCTGAAGCCAGCTTGGTTCTCTCGTGTTTGCAGTTCACGAGTCTTAGTTAGGCGTCTGATAATTATCCACAGAGTCGTGGATGCATACTTCTAAGAATACTCGTAACACAACGAGACGGCTATCCAGTGCTATAAAGTTTTCAATGATGCTCTAACTATGATCAGTTGATGGTTTAAACTTTTAAAATGCCACATTCTCCAAAAATCCCGTATGTTAATAATATTTTTTTTCACTCACCGTCGTACTAATCCATTTTTTATTAATTTAATAGTTTTCTTTTCATTAACATTATAAAGTCCATCATTGTAAAAGTCAAATACATAAGCTTTCATAATTATCTAAACTATTATTATAGTAGTTAATAATCCATAGTCACCATTTTTGTTTTATAAATGTGAGTGTACATTGCGTACATTGATTACATTAATCCTATTTAATGGCGATCTAGAAAGGTTACCTAGACTGAATTAACATACCTTCGTTTTGACAATCGTTATTTCATTTTGTATTCTGTAAACAAGATTTTTATTAGACTAAATCCATTAGTTGAATAATGTGGTAATGTTGTTGTAAACTAATTCTTTATACTGATAAATATTTTGCAAACACCAGCAACACAAAACGGTTTATTATTCATGAAAAAACTCATTTAAGCCAACTATAAACCTACTATGACTAACTGGCAACCTGCTTGAACATTTGGTCTAATAGATATTTCAACAAGTAATCTAATTTTGTTTATTTTGATATACCATTATGGCTACTAATCACATAACCTATTCAGGTGCGTTTTTAAATAGTTCACAAGTTACAAAAGGCCCAATGAGATATATCGTGGTTGCTGGCAATATGCAGCGAAAAGAATGTACATTATTTAGATGTCGATCGACTGAACTACTAACTTATAACTGGCAACCACTCAATACATATCGTCAGGATCGACCAAGAAGTAAGAAACGGAAACTTGTTAAAATACCTTGTGCTGAGAATTCTATATTGTACCCAAAATATAATAATAAATAAAGTTAATAATAATATATTTGTTTTTTTAGTAATAACCTTTTAATGCAATCTACTGCAAGTCTTGAACATTTTTTCCACCTTTTTTATTCATTATCAATAATACTAATTTTGGCTTAGTTCACTTACATTCATGGATGTCAATTGGAAAATTCAATTAGCGTAGTAAAGTAGAAAACTAGACATATTTAAATTCGAGTAACGAATTCTACGGTGCCTTCGAATCATTTCTGTTGACGAGTGCTACTAAATTAAAAGATTTGCGGGAGATATTTTGACAATTGTTAAATGTAATATATTAGGCCACTATATTTAAAAATGAACCCATGACTTTTAGTCAGTTTTGCATTATTTTTAATATAAATGAATCTTTATAGCATTTTTCAAATATTTGTTTTGTAGGGAAGAATTTTTTATAATCGGTTATGCTTTTGAAAAGAAATCACCTGAAGAAGATTTGGGTAAACAAGAAACTGACTTCAAATCACTGCGTAATCGTCCTCGCCGTGTATTATCTTCAGATGGAACTGAATTTTATAATTTATGGTTTATACCACATTTTATTGAAGTTTTATTTGTATTTCGTCACTTGAATGATGAAGCTTGTACTAAAGCATTGCGTTTAATGGCCAGGATAGCTCGTGCTTTACACGATATTTTACATTATTTAGTTGCATATGCTAGATTAGGCATTAGTTCCTCCAAGGCAACTGCTGAACAAAAACATCAAATGTCCGTATCTTTTGATAAAGTAAGCATAATCTAAGAAATGATTATTCTAGAGTGTTTTCTATTTGTAAATATATGGTTATAAATATAACTTTGTTAGAAATTGATTATTTACAAACATACCTTATGACCATAAAAAGGTTTTTACGTGTCATATACGCTGACAATTATATATTAAAATAGAGGCTAGATTTTATAGATTGTGTCTGTAAAAAATTAATAACGATTTTGAGCATAGATGGTTCAACGATCAAATAAACCTCATTTATGTTATTTAATCTCTTAGCAATCATGTGAAAAGCAGTCTTAAAATGACCCAACGAAACATTTTCCTCAGGTATAGTATTACGGAATGATTGTACTTTGGGTAATCATCAGAAACCTAATACTTTTAAATTTGACAGATAAGTATTTTTGATTTATTTATGATTTTAAAACATATTGATAGAAGTATAATGACACTAAAGTATAGCAAAAATAGTTTTGGTAAATTTCACTCAAAAGTTAGAAACATTGTTTGACATAGGAAACTGTTACTCTGTATATTTTCATTTATCAGGTATACTTCATACTATCACTAAATTTCATTCTCAGTACTTTTGATTACGTTTATGAACCGTATATTTAGGATTTTTTGGGAAAGTTATGGTTTCTTTGTTCATTCATATGACAATACACAATGCTATTTTACTGATTACTGTTACTGTGAAATAGTTGATCTCATGTATTGAACTATATGACTTCAACTATGATTTAATAAATATATTTATCTCCTAGTCGATGTCACCATATAAAACGACACAAATATTGTCAGTTAAATGTCTGAAAATTCTTTTTAGAAACAATCGTACTAAGAAATATCAATGACTAAATTAAATATGTAGTGATAATGCTTTCTTCTAGACAAGATATCAAGATGCAGAGATAACAGTAAGGATAACAAAACCATTGAACTAATCCATATATTAATGTAAAACTAGTAATGCAATTTGTTAAATTTACTTGAGAGTTGTATGATGCTTATGTTATAATTACACGTCAAAGATGTAGTTTGTATCTGTTTTAAGTAAAGGAGTATTCACCTTTAATTTTACCTACTTTGATTACCACTTAGCTAAGTGATACAACGACTATTAAAAAGATTTATTAAATGAAAGAAATCATCATTGTTGGTTCTTGTGGCCTGTCGATTCTCATATGATAAAACCGCGAATCAGAACACGATTTATACAATTTTGGCTCTGAGGCCAAACCAATGACGTATTGACCAGTACGAACAGCCTATAGTCCTTATTGGTTCTTCTCGTCTAGCCCTGCCTGTTGAGCCCAGAAAAAATCTTCTACTGTAATAATCATATTTTTCAGATATACTTCGTTCATATACAAGCAAACCAAAACGTATCATTCCACAAAATAGGAAATAACAATTATACAAGATTAAGCTAAAACGGGCTGTGATTTTGAGATACTGTAACCAATATATTGGGTATAACTTGGGGATAGTGAATCTTATTATAGTAGTCAGTCGAATAAACGAAAGCTTATAAAAGGAATATATATATAGTCCATAAATAGCTTAGAAGTCGTAAATAAGACGACAAAACCTACGAAAGATTGTAGTATACAGATTAAAACGTCAGAACAGAATAATGATAGCTTTGATAATAGAGATCATGGTTGTAACTTCTGGCGTTCAGGGTTATCAACTCTTGATTTTAACGATAGTCACATTCGTAAACGCAGTTTTAGTTTTCTGAAGAGGAATAACTTTGAGTAATCTGTTTATCTGATCTTTTAAATGTGTTATAGAGTTAGGTAGTTAGTGCTCTATGATGGAATTCAAGTGTTCTAGTCTAGATTTGCATGTAAAGCGAATGTTGTAGGTGTTCAAACGGAATCCTTTACGTTCATCTTCAAACATGCTCATTCCATACTCCTATTCCAAATTCAGTGATACCACTAAGTTATTACCGGCTACTTGTAGCATTTTTGTGCTTCATAACTTCTCTTTGCATAGCAAGTGTATGTTATTTCATTGACAGGCCTATTTATCAATATCGAGATTTCTTTAAAAATCATCTTACGCGTAACAAACGAACTAAATACTGTAAATTATTAACGATTGATCACTGAGTATCGATCAATGTTTTGTTTTTCTAATTTCTTAATGCTGGTCGAATTTTATCTACCGGATTCAAATGTAGCTACAAGTTTGGGTGAATCAACGTTGTGTGGATTATGTAAGGATGTCAATTGATCGGAGAGAATCATCAGGAAACCCTACACCTTAGTTTCATCAGGTTTTGCACTTGGCAGCAACAGATACCTTAGAAATGTTAGGAATCGATGTTCCCTGATGAATTTGAACCTGTATCACCCGACTTGACAGTCTGTGACATTACTATCAAGCTTTTTTATCGAAGGCTGTCCTTCTATTCCATTAAGGTACTTACACTTGGTTACATCTGAATACTGACTAATGTCATGCTTGTATACTCCTTTAGTTTCATCCAAATTTGATATGTGACACATACTTGAACTCACCAGAGAGTATTAGTTACCTTAATATTACAGGTTCACCTTTATGACGAGTCCGATATCCTAGATTTCCTGTCAACTGCTTCTGACTACCTAATCTTATTAAATATACATTTTTAGAGTTCACAAAAAATTTGCTTTTGTCTCAGTTCAAGATTATAGATAGTTAATGATCATATTTCAATGGATTTCCCTGTTTTAAATTGATAGACAGAATTACATAAAGCGTTTTGTTTAAAAATACATAAGTAGGAATCTCTTTTTGTGCTTTTATATGCACTTTAGAATCAAATAAAAAATGACAGATCAACAACTGGAAAAACAGTAAATTCTTTAAAACAAACAACTACAGATGTCCCATCAGCTGGTTCAAATAAAAGTATGTCATTGGCATTGTCAACACTAGCGGATCCTACTACACCATTGAATTTCAACACACAAGAGCACAGTCTAGTTGTCGATCAGTTAATAGGTAAATTATCTAGTTAAAAATAATTGTTCATTGGTACTTATGTAGTTGATACTAAAACTATTCTTATTTATCCGTTATTGATCAATTTGCACAGAAAATGTGCTTTTTTTGGTTGAGTGATTTATTTTACATACGAACGACAAGTTTCACAGTATATGATTAGGTTATTATACATATGAAAATACAACACTAAGGTTGAAAGGCTACTAATTTATAGAGTTTATTTTCCGTTTCACATCGTTTGTTTGAACATTATCTTAAACTGTTATTGTAACTGAAATATGGAAAATTTAAACTACTTTATAGTTGTGTTTCTTTTTAAAAAAAACAATATTTTGTACACTATAACACTTCTGATGTGTTCTAACATCTGAAAGCTTTTCCCTTTGTATCGCTTTCTGAAATTTTCCGTTTATACAATGAATTTGATCGTATGGACGAACTTTATTTATTAGAAACACTAACATATTGTTACGTATCTATTTTGTTAACCAGAATACATAATGTTCTAGTCATAATATTCAATAACTCACAGCTATTCATTGTTATTAGGAATAAACTTGAGCTTCCCCTAAGTATGGACATTATAAGATTTCGATAACACAGTTGTAAGGTTTGTGAGTGTAATTGCAAACAACTAAACTTAATATAATTCATGATGAACTGGTTTTAAAATTACAAACACACCTTATTGACTAATCTTCTGAAGCTCAAAGTCACGTAGATCATTTACCTGTCATGTATGGGTTTATTGTCATATAGTGAGCCAGGTATCCTGAAACTTTGTTTACAATAATTAGGCCGCGTTGTGCTTCCTTGAGAAGGACGAATATTGATTTTTCAGAGTTTTCGCTCGAAGAATGTAATTAGTAGATTAAAGAAAGAGATTGCATAATAAAAATTTCTCTGCGTGAAAAAGAAACGTTTTCTTCCAAAAAATACGTTTTAGGACTATGTATATATACATATATATCTTTTTATGAAGATGTAAATTTTATTTTGTCAGCATTTCTTTTGAAATTTAGTGACAGAATTAAGGGAAATTCAGTACCAAATAAATCGCTTACCGAATTCAGCAGATCCAGAACAAATCATTCAACTTTTAACTCTTAGACGTGAGACAATGTTTTTGAAATTTGATCTTTGCATACGTAATATATTAGGGGAAACATTTTTGGCAGCTGGTAATGAAGATGCTTATAACGTGAGTTGAAGTATTTCTTACATTCAATGTGATAATTCTATCACGATTATTTTTTAAATCGCGTGATGTTTATTTCATTACATATTGTAACTTCAACTTTATCCTCAATGTTATTGTCATCAGTATATCTTAGAGCATTTTATAATCTGTGACTGTTTTGCATTAAATGATAATCAAAATATATTCATTATATTTTATTAATTAGCAAATTTCTTTTTATTTTGTCATAAATTAGTATGTATTCCTGATCAATAAAATCCAGAATCGATCAGTGATTTGTATGTTCCGGTAACTATGTATATATATATATCCAGGTTATATACATTTCATTGTTTGATTACGTCTCGATTTTGTAGACAATACTGTTATGTCTTTCGTCTTGTCACGTGACAAGATCTTCAATCAGAACACCAACTTGTACAACATTGGTTCAATTTTTTCGATTTTGTACGGCAGTTAAGTTTCTTAAGGACTGTAATTTAGGTCCTTGTGTTAGCGAGTAATATTTTAATGACATTGATGTTGAATGGAAAAATATTCACTAAGAAATCAAAGTTTTAAAACGTAAACCACAAATCTACATGTTCTATGGGATTCCATTTCAATAATAATGGTTCATTTAGAAGAATGCGATTTTATTCTTATATTTTCATATCAGATGTATGTATATTATAGTTGACTTCTCAGAATTGATCTTAGTTAACCAACTTCCATATCAGTCTGAAAATACGCTTAATTTCATTAAATGGCTTCTCTGCTCAATGTATGACTAGTGTAAAAACAAATATTTAAACAGTTGGTTTATGTAATTTGTAGTTCTATTGAAGAATATTAAAAAGGTGACATTTATGACTTACACTGAATGAAGTTATCATGCATAATGCTTATTAGGAAGCACCATGTAATATTATGTATTAAGTAGCATAACACGTAAACATAGAAGTAATATAACTTATTTTTGTACACATTTAGGAATTGACGGTAAATAGTCATTTTCCATTATTTGAATTATCTAATTCTCAACGTCCATGTGTAAATGCAATCGAATTGAGCATACCAGAACCATTGGAGTCTCAAGACGATAAAGCTCAAGAAATACTCCCATGGCGTACAATGATAAATTATTACGGTCCTTATTTACTGCTTAATTCAAGTTGGAAACAAATAGAATATAATATAAGTTTATGTTTAGCTGGACTAAAACCAGTTGACTGGTAAGTCGTTTGCAAATAATCTATTTTTAAAGTACAAACAAGTTATTTAAATTATTGTCTATGTAATGTTTCTCCATTAGCAATCAACCTCGTTGTTTCTGAAGAACACAACCATACTTCAGCACTTTGCATACTGAGATGTGAGTACTAGGTCTTCTAAAATTCTCATGAATCATTCTTCTATTGAACCATACAGTTGAATCGTACAGTTAAGTCTTCAAGATATAACCTCCTTTCATTCCTTACTTTTTAGATTGTCACTTATATCGGAAGTCTTGTCACTCCCAGTGGATTCATAAGGTTCGATCGGCCTTTGAAAACTTGTGTCACTTATGGCGTACGCAAAATGCACGTCTGCATATGAAAGAATGAAATTACGGTACATCCATCCTCTTTGTTCTACTTTATGGCTATGAAACGTCAGCTTTAAAAAAAGAAGATTTTCGTAGGTTACTAGTATTTGGTGATTGATGCCTTCATGGCAATTCGTATGTGTGTGTTAAGAATATCGTGCTAGCAACTCTGAGATTTGATGCATGGTACTAGGTAAAGATGGAAAATCCATTGGTTAGATAGTGACTCGTCATTGATTAAGATAATTGGGACACGAATTGCATATGCCCAACGGCAGCCCACCTCGACACTTGATTATGACTGATGTGGTGTTAAGTAGGAAGAAAGCTGGGGATGGCCAAACCAAGATGAAGCATAGATCCATGAAGTCATTGTATGTTGAATTTAGAAGTGTTGGTAGGTTCAGACTTCCTTGTTGAGGTCATGAAGATTATCGTAACCGGTGGTTGGAGACTTTGTAAACGTGGCTTAATATCGGTTTTAATTTCTCAGATATATTCACTCCTTGTCTTCGATGAAATCTTAACCTCATTCTTGTTCCCCGAATTATAACATCTATGGCTAATTTCGTTCACGACCTCTGCCATTGATACTGATTCAATTACCCGGGTTCGTGTTTATAGTTTTATCTGAATATACTGATGTGTTATGGGAACTCACACGATTGTAAATATCTTTTTGTTTTTACATTGTATAAGACTGATTGTCTGGCGTATCTAATTTAGATATTAAACTTTATGAATTAAGCTTATAAATTTTATAATAAAAATGTCTTAGAAATGAGTTTCAGTACATAATATAAGAGGCTAAATTGGCTATCACATTTGACGATTGCAATAAGTCATTTTTGATCTTGCTTTCTTTTGAAGCCATTCAAACTGTAGTTACATTATTTCTAATAATAGCATTATGCATTTCATTATTACTAGTTTATCATAAAAGTGAACATCTGAACTATCTAATCATTAGCGATTTCAAACATCCACTTTGTTACAATTTGGTAAGATAGTTTCATTGGACAAATAATTGCATATATATGATGCTTAAAAATCATTTCTTAGTAAAAATGTAATTATTACATAACTTGAAATACACAACCGCATATTAGTTTATGTGGCGAAAAACATAATTTTGATGTACTATGACTATACAGGATTAAAGGGCGTCTAAACCTTGTTGTGTTATTTACAAATCTAATACTTTCAGTTTGCTTCGAGCGTGTTCTAAGTAAAGAAGTATATCGAACATATTATAAACTTTATGATGCAATGCTAATGAGTGAATGTGTTATACTCGTCAACAGTTATCAAAGAAGTATGAAACATTTCAATAAAATATAAACATGTTAGATTCAGTATGATTTTTAAATAACATAATAACTATTCGTCAGTATTATGAATATTCTTTCAGTGTATTTTCCACTCTTATTTTAGTCCAACCGTACACGGCGAACTGTTGGCTATGAACTTAACACTGGATGATATCGTTGAAACTGGTGATATAGTAGACGCTTGTGCAGGTGACAGACTAGCGATTCAAGAGACTGATAATATGCACCTCATACTTAGCAAACGTACTAAAGACAAGAAATGTGAAGGAACACCTGAAGCTGAAGAACCAGTTGTTAAACAAACTACAAATATTCAGACGCAAGATGTTGATCGTATTACAGTTAAAGGTAAATGTCAAAATATCAGCATACGTTATTTTAGTAGAACGTTGAATTTTATGAATAAACTTGAAAGTTCTTGCGTTCACCACAGTTTATTAATTTACTTAAATATATATGTAATACGTATAAACCGTTTACGAATTAGCAGTTAAGTTAATTAATGCAAATTAAATTTAGACTTATTTTGTTCGATGGAGTATAATAAAATCTTTTGGCAGGTTCAACCAAATTCTAAAAAGATCTTCACTTAATAAATGGTCACAGTAAAATGAATACCATTCTATCTTCAAGCATGAAATATAGCATTTTTAAATAATTTCCAGGTTGTTCTGTCATGATGAGATATTTCTAAATGCATCTCAGTATATTTAGAATCACATCGTTTGTGCTTGGCAGTGGAATCCAAGATGAGTATTGCATTTATTTTGGAATCATCAGCTGAATGTGCCTGTATAGCAGTGTTGATGTTCATGATCAGATGCAAACCTATAACCTATCGTCCCAAACTCCAAAGCGTTATCCACTAAGCTACTCAGTCCAAACGCCTACTAGCTTGTTCAACGAACATAGTGTTATCGTGTGTGGTAATATATTCACTCTTATTGATATTATGGAGTGCAAATGATTAGCCTCTGTCGGTTTAAGGTCATCCTGAGAGGACTGCATAGATATTAACATCTAGTCATGAGTTTTTGAATAAAGTTGGACAGTGGCTGGCTGTGGAATCCAGAATAAGCGTTGCATCTTGTTTGTGGTTCATCATTTAGATGAACACATGAATCTTTTTCATCAATTCAAATCAGTACAATAATTTTAAACATTGATCATTTAAATCAATACTATTTCTTGGTTTTATTCGGTAAATTAACTAATTAATTTCCAATTTGAAAGTGCTTTTTATCACAATTTGAAATCACGAGGTACTTCTTTTATATACGATAAAGAAATGATAAGAGTATATGTTTATTGAGAGGAAAATTTGGCATATGTGCATCCTGTGCAGGTCGCCTCAATATTACCTTCAGTCACATGCATTATAAGCGGAGATGATGGTGGCCAGCTTATAATCCTTTTAACTGAATGTAATATCGAGGCCATCCTCACAGGATGTACATATGCCAATAAGAGACTGATCAATTGCAGTCCTGAACATCAATGGGCAGATTCAAGCAACTAATACAAAAAGGAATTTAACCGTTTATTGATTTTGCATCTTTTTTTATTTGAGTAGTTACCTGATTGAATTCAAGAAAATAATATTCGCACCTAAGAGAATGATTCATTGATGCGTATTAAAGAATACTGTCATAATGTTTATTGATCGTCACAATGTATTACATTAAACTGATCATCACAAACATTGTTTTAGTAATAATAAATAAGCCTGTATTAAATAATTCGTTATTGAATATTTAACATACATTGTATATTTTTCAACTAATTCTGTCTTAGATTCAGAAATGAACAAATTGAGTATATTGAATACACCAATTGCAGCATATAAATTAATAAAAAAATACTTAATTTTACGGAAACGTATCGAATTATTAAAATATGCATGGGGAACACGTCGACTTGGTATTGAACAGATTAACACATCAAAAACATTTAAAATGTTCTGGTAAGTTTCAGTCGCAAGATAAAATATTTCGGGGAGACCATAGTTTATGGACGAACCAATTAGATATAAGATAACGGATCATGAATTTCTCCGCGAAATTCATCCATACATTTGGCTAAATAGTTTTGGCACTATAGCTGATGTCACTTCGTGACGAAAACTCTAAATCTAATTCTTAACTCTAACCCTCAACTGTAAATAATAATTCTAACTGGTTTGTAACCCTCGTTTAGTCCTTATCAGTAGGTGTCCATTCTCAAGGTCACTTCAGCGCCGCTCAAAGGTCGTCCATAAATTATAGTCTCACCAACATTTCTTTTACATAATTAATCACAAATGAATAATTCAACTTGTCAAAATGCACTATTAGTTGTTTTCAATACTTTTCAAGCTGAGTTACAAAAATAGACAAATGATGACAAGATAAAGGAAGAGATAACTTCATTTTAATTTAATTTGTGGTTTTTTAAAGAAATGCGATAAACTTTTAGCTATTCTATCCATCATAATTTGATTCACTTATGTTAAGTGCATCACAATAGATGGATTGAAAAGTGTTGTGTAACTAGTACTCTTTATTTATCAGCAATGTTATTCCCAAAGCCTATTCGCATATAATTATCACTGTCAGTTTACTTACCGATTTATTTGTGAAGTGTGTCTGTATCACTCTGTGGCTGTAAAACGTGGACCTTGAGAATGGTAGATATGCATCGTAGGCTCCAGGTATCTTCAAAACTTTTCGTGCTTATATTAGGAAAATGGAGTGAACAGTGTATAGGTTAGATATCGGGTAATACAAAAATACAGCAAATCGGTTAATGAGGTTATGAAACTTCATTGACCTTGGAAAGAAGGGTTCGGTACATTATATCAAATGCTTGTAATCCTCTCTTATTTCATTATTTGACTTTATTTGTTTTGTTAACAAGTGCCAAATACGCAGTTGAAATACATCACAAGACTGACCCTAACTCAACCTTTGTCGTTCGTGTAAAAGCTACTTAGGTCGAATAATCAAGTATGTGAAAGCTATGCGAAAGTTTACCCCCCCCCAACCTTATACGCTCAAAAATAAATTGTGCTTACAGTAAATCTACCCTAATAATATTGATATATTACTCAGAGTGATGTGACTCATATTTTCACTGCTTGTTAACCTTTGTATTTCTAGACCCAAATGTTTTAACACATAAATGTATGATCAGATTGTTCGAAATCTATTAACAAACTATATCACATAGTTTTTATAAACGTTGCCCTCTGTCTAGATTATCTATATATATCAAAGGGACTGACTGTTTCAAAAGTAATAATTAGGTCTCAAATCCTAGAAGCCGTAAATAATGGTCCCGTTATGGCTCATTGTTATATAATTGCTATTTACTCAAAATCCATTAGTTTCTCAAAACAAAACTCGAATAGTTCTGTACTTATTACAGCTAAACGATTTGCAAATCTGATGTTATAAAATTATGTATTTTTACACCTTTATAGTTCGGTTTATAAAAATGAACAACTATATTCTTTAATACGAAGTTTATCACTTCAATTCAATCAACCTGATATATTTACGCTTGCTTCATTGAATGATACTGACATATTTGTAATACCTAAAAATATTCCGGAAATAATTGTTAGACAACGTCAAGTAAGTTATCTCTTTAATATTATAGTTCTATTAATAATCAGTATTATTATATTTGATATTTTGACCAACTTTCTAGTGTGAATGTAACATAGTGAAAGGATTTAAATTAGATTAACTTGGTCAACTTCGAAGTGAATTTTTAAAAGATTAAATTGATAAATGGGCGAGACTATAATTTATGGACGAACCAATCAGATTTACGATAACAAGTCTTAGATTTTGGCACGAAATTCATCTACCCATTTGGCTAAATAGATTCTTGGCATTATAGCTGATGTCAGTTCGTGATGAAAACCCTAAATGTAATTCATAACCCTAACCATCGACTGTGATTCATAATCCTTATTCTTCAAACTGCTTTATAACCCTCAGTTAGCCCTAGTAAGTAGGTAGACACTCTCAAGGTCACTTTATCATCGCTCAAAGGTCGTCCATAGTTTATAGTCTCACCGATAAATAAACTAGGTTATCACTATAAAACAACCTTTCATAATACTGCCTTTGAGTTATATAACCAATATGCATATGCAAATGACTGAATTATCATAGGTATTTTATTCATTCTGGCACTGATCTGTTAATTTAGATGGTAGTTGGAGGTAGTCAACAGGAAACCCTGGACCCGGGTTTCGTGCTACTTGGCACTCGTCAGCAAGGTGTACCTGTAATCTTGAGGGAACTGGTGCTCCCTGGCGGACTCGATCTCGTGTCACCCAGCTTCACAGTCAGAGACGCTACCACTGAGCTATCCGAGCCGTGACTAACCTCCTGTAGGACTGAGATCGATCTGCACTAATAAGGACTAGACAAGCATGACATTGATCACCACCCAGTGATCAATCAATTGTGATTACATCTCAGTCCTACAGGAGGTTAGTCACGGCTCGGATAGCTCAGTGGTAGCGTCTCTGACTGTGAAGCTGGGTGACACGAGATCGAATCCGTCGGGGAGCACCAGTTCCCTCAAGATTACAGGTACACCTTGCTGACGAGTGCCAAGTAGCACGAAACCCGGGTCCAGGGTTTCCTGTTGACTACCTCCAACTACCATCTAAATATCAATACATAGTGCCCGCAGTGTCGAGTCACCTGGACTGGTGGCCACATTGCAACATGATCGATAGCATTCGATCTGCACTAATAAGGACTAGACAAGCATGACATTGATCACCACCCAGTGATCAATCAATTCTGATCTGTTAAAATTAGATACAATAAATGGAGTGTAGGTTCATGAAAAAAGTCAATGCTAGTTAAATGAAACATATTTTGGTGAAGTTTTGTTCTTTAAGCTGGATAGTTTGGTCGTGGAGCTTTTATTTTTATTCTGAACGACATCATCAGCACAAACTTCAGGTAGAAGTGCCGTTTGGAATAACAATGAAAGCTACACGACTACACACACTAAAATCATCCACCTGAGCTACAAATTTTCACCATTCCAATAACTTAAACATCTTTTACAAAAATAAAACTTTAGAGATCACTATTTAAATTTCGTTGGTGTAGCATAGCAGTAATTTTTAAGTAATAAGTATCATTACTAGTTGAGCAGAATAAAAATTCTTTTATTGTACATATGATTTCATACTGCAATGGTTTATTGATTCAAGTTAAGAAAAGGCAAAATTGTTTGATTTCAATCATTCATTAGTGAAATACGATCCAAGTACTTTGAAAAAATGTCCTTTTTTCAAGTTAATAAAACGATAATTACCTTTTTTAAATAAAAAGCCTGCGAGAGTTAGAACAACAATGTCATCAGTTAACTAATCAAGACAAGATTGGATAGCTGAATGAATATTTTCTCTTATCAATTTTATAACTATTGAGATAAAAAATTACACATCATATATCTACATAAAGATAAACTCTTCATCTTGACGAAAGCCTGTTTAAAATGTGTTAAAATTACCATGGAGCTTATAATTTACAAATGACAAAATACTGATACCTTATTTCTTTCTCCGCTGGAATCTGGTTTGTTCTCTCTCACAGTAAGTTGTTGCTGGTAGTGTCGAATCAGTTGGTCAGACATTATCAGCAACAACCTACTATGAGAGAGAAAAAACCATATCCCAGCGGATGAAGAAATCAGGAAGAAGCTCTGGAAGTGAATAGGACACAGATTGAGGAAAGCACCCAACTGCGTCACAAGGCACGCCCTCACATGAATTCACAAGGCCAAAGTAAAAAGAGGAAGACCAAAGAACACATTATTCCGAGAAATGGAGACAGACATGAGAAGAATAGACAACAGTCGTATAGAACTAGAAAGGAATGCCCAGGACAGAGTAGGATGAAGAATGCTGGTCGGCGGCCTATGCTCCATTTTGAGTAACAGGCGTAAGTAAATAAGTAATTAATTACTTTGAAGAAATTCTTAATTTTAAACTTGATTTTTATTACCTTTTTTATTCCTGTGGTTTATTTACAGTTACTTAAACTAATTGAAGCATTTGAATTGTTCATGATATCAGATTTACGAAAATCAATTGTAAGACAAACTGATCTGGTAATTAAAGAACGTAATCGTGAAGAAGGCAATTTACCATTAGATTTATGGAAACGACCAGTAAGTTGTGAAGATTTTTTGTTCTTATTTATTATATTTACATTACACATGCATCACTTAATAATGAAAAAATTATTTTCTAAATAGTACTGTTTTGTGTACATCGCCCCAAATAGTTCCTGAAAAAAATCTTTTTAGTAAAAATAACTCAAATTTTGTTGTAGCTTGTTTAATTTTCCCATACTTATACAGTCACTAGTATTGATTACCAACTTGTTTACGATAGATTATAATGCATATTTTCACTTTTGTACGACTCTCTGCTCAGTAGATATTGGTAAAATATGTTCCTTCTCGAGTATGATACAATGGCCGTAGAATTTGTTTAAAAAAAGAATAATTTCTAGTTTGAAAGAGGTTTATGTGGGGTTTTTTGGCTTAATTGATACCATATAAGTTAGTGATGAATTAAAAATTTTCAGTACTTCATATCAGTTAAGTAAACACTGCAAGGAAACCATTGAGTACTGGCTGAATTACTGTACTATCTTACTTGTATGAACTAACCTCATTCTCTATGCGAATTGTATCTAGCGAGAATCTATCACTGACTCGGCATGTTTCACCAAATTTCATTGAATAAAATATTATTTATAATTTTATATCGTAATACTCCATATGTTTGATCAAAAGGTTTAAATAATATATTAGTCGCTGCTGTTAATTCCAGATGTATGATAAATGATGTTAAATTAATAAAATTATTTTGGTGAAGTCATATGAAGTTTGTGCTGATAGTGTCGTTCAGAATAACGATGAAAGTTCCACGATCAAACCATCCAGCTCAGAGAGCAAAACTCCAACAAAATCATCCACCTGAGCTACAAATTTTCTCCTCCATCTTAAATAATTTTTTTTATTTTAAAGGCTTACCAAGTTAGAAAAGATTTTGAAAACAGATTGTTACACAGAAGAATATTCTTGTCTTGTCAATTATTGTATCACAAAGCACGAGGAAATGTGATATTTCAAATTTCTTAGAGAGCTATTTGTTTAGGAAAAAGCTTAATGTATATGCATTATTACCATTTTTAAGTCTTTTGATATTTCACAAACACTTTTGAAGATATATATTGTTTGTTTGAATTTTTCAATTTCTGTTTTATGACTTAAATAGATGAGCCTCTTTTTGGGATATGCTCGTCTTGTGAGGATCGCCTCGATATTGCCACCAGGTTACATAGTGACAATAACAATGGGAAGATCCAAACAACCAACACATATACATTTAAATGCACTCATTTCATAAATCAATAGCTATCTGGACTTGGTAGATAAGTGGATACCGCGAAAGCGTTTGAAGCGAATGTTACTAGCTTCAAGTCCCGGAGTAAATACCAAATCTCAGTTCCAAGTACATCCAGCTGATATGTCCCGTATAGGACGAGACACTCATCCTGAAATCCACTGTTAGTCGCTATCCGTCCTTGTTTAAACGCTTCTGAAGATAGTTCTCAGTTTTTAACAAACGCTACTTTTAAAGTATGCAAATAGCTATCTTAAAATATAAAAAAATTATTATCATATGGCTACTAATGACCTGCTTAATAGATTTTCGCAAGATTCTATGTGAAGCTGTAACCTGTAAACTCAAATAAGGCTGATTTTGGGCAAAAACCAACCACTACATTTCTACTCGTTCGATTCTCGCGTGTCATACTCCCAGTGATACATAAAATCCCGGCGTTTGATCGCTTGTGAAGTTATGGGTGTTGACTCCTAATGACTTCCAAACTCTCTGTAATCGACTCTTCAGTGTCACCAAGGTTTTAGTTATTTTCCAACTGATTCAAGTTCAGAATGAGAACTTTACTCAAGTAATACTCTTTACCACTAAATCAATTTCAGATATTAACAATTTTATTGAAGAGTTCAATTTTTTCACAACGTCTTAGTTGCCACAGTTTCGTTTTTTACAGTATTTTCAAGAATAACTATAAAGGTTTTCTGAAAAATTTCGTCTCATTTCAAAATCATAGATATATGAAAGAAAAACACCCTTTTCAATAAATTCTCTACAGGTTCTGCAGCTCTATACATACAAATTACAAATCCATAAAGTGACCTGGTTTAAGATAATTATATCATTAACAATAATAGTATGTGAATTCTCAGGATCTTTTGTAAAATATAGTAAAACTATACATATTAAGATGACTAATATGAGGTTTTAACCTGAAGAATTTTGTATGTTAAATGAAATGAAATTAATGATCAGAATAAATATGGCTAACATGGGGTGAGAGAGACAATTATGTAATTACAAATCAAAATCAATATTTGATCAATAATCAATGTAATATAGGTACAATAATTGAAACAGAATAAGTAAATAGGGTCGGGTGCTAAATAATTTTCTCTAAAACATTTACAAGCGTTATACTACTAATAATTATAAGATATGTGAACTAGATACGTTTCAGATATGGAAATACTAAGAGGAGGATTATGTAAAATTTAATGGAATTGTGTCATCATTATCATCAGAATGGCTGTTAACTAATAAGTCCAGAAGTAGGCCAAAGTAAAGGAAGCAACTGAACATAATTCTTCTGGACTCAATGCTCCGTTGTTTTGACCCGAATAGTCATTGCTTCAGTCGTTTGAAAGATCCTTAGTTCGACGGATTTCCAAATGTTTTGAAGTGATCTTTGACACTGGTCAACGTCTTTCTTCATTGACTAAAAATAAATTTATATCTATATTTTTAATAGAATTAATGCCGTTGTTTATGATGAAGCCTATTGTGTTATTCCTAATTTGGTTGTAACATCAATTTCTCCCAATGGTTGTAAGTTAAACACTGATGTCGTGGATTATTTGAAGTTGTAAATTAACTCTGTTGGGTCACAGCTCGGTAGTCTAGTGGTTGAGCGTTCGCTCGAGATCGTAGGTCCTGGGTTCAAGTCCTACGTGCGGGACGGTGGGTGCACCCTGCTAAGGAGTCCCATATCAGGACGAAACGACTTCCAATGCTTCTAGGTTTTCAATGGTGATCTGACATTGATTGTTCCATGAGCTCTATTGAAACTAAAGTTTAAGCGTTAGTGACTGAAGTTTCTAGGTCTGGATCAAAACGTTTAATCAGTGCAAATATTAAGTAACTTCATTACTTCATACATGTTAGAGTTAGGCAGAAAAAAAGAAATATACTATTTAGTGATGAATTATGTTTCCCAGTCATGTCAATTAATTTATTGATTGAATTATTTCGTAACTACTTGTTCGATTGATTCAAAATTGCTGATTGACCAGACGAACATGTATGATGATGTGCTATCTATCGTGGTTATCATTATGGATATCATCCTATAATTTATGGTTGGTGAATAGATCCTTTTTCTTCTACAGTTTTGTTTTCTTTCTTGCGTCAGCACAAGTAGTCTAGTTGAGTTGTAGTAAGTAGCACGTAGAGGTTTATTAATAGAAAACAGTCGTATCGGTGGCGCGAATTAGTGTTCAACTAATGCTATAATCTTAACAAATCGGTATTGTTCCAAGTTAATACAGTTAGTTATATATAAACCAAATAGAAGGCTATTTTATGTTTTTCAACAGAACATTATACATAGTTTATCAACACCATATGTACCGTTTTTTTTCATTTCTGTAAAATACTGTTAAAATAGGCAATGAAAGAAACTTTATCCGTGAAGAGGCCAGCATTAGCTGAAGAATTCCTCAATCAGTTGATTTCACATTCGATACATAATGAAGAATCTGGTATTTATACAATCACAAAAGAGAATTTCAATTTAATAGTACAAAATGTAGCTATTTCAGTGATGCATAATGAGAAGGAAACATTTGAACAGTAAATTACTGTTTATAAATATAATTCGTTTTAATTTCTTATAGAACTTCATCGATAAAAATTAGTTATTTGTAGTTACGCGTCAACACTGTTGGATGCCGGCTCAGTAATTTAGTGGTTAAACGTTCGCGCGCGAGATTGATAGGTCCTGGGTTCGAATCCCGCGAGGTGGGATCTCAGGTGCGCACTGCTGACGAGTCCTACAATGGGACGAAAAGGTCGTCCAGTGCTTCCAGGTTTTTCATGGTGGTCTAGCTTCAAATGACTCATGATCTCAACTATCTGATAATCGTTAATTTCACTTTGTTAGCATTTACAGTGTACTTTCTCATAATTACAAGATAGTTTATCATGTTTGCATCATTTTGGAAATATCTGAATCTCAATAGCTGAAAAGTGGTTCAACAGTAAATGCAAGCAAAATAATTTTGCATTTTTATGATATCAAGTTATGCAGATAGATAGAAGCATCAAAATTGAATGCAGATGAAATACCTGTTTTCTTCATATTTCGATAAACTATTGAATTAAAATTTCCGTGTAATTTCAATGTTCTCGAACAAGCATATTTAGTACTCATGATATAATGTGTCAGAATATTTATCGCTTCACTATTGTGATATAGTAGACCTCTTGAATATTGTAACATAGCCGGTTAAACCTCTGGTTCAACCAAGGGAGCCATTTTAAATCTTACTGAATGAATGTTAAAAGAAACTATTTCATGTTAAAATGATTGAATATATGAAAACATGAAATAATAAAAATATTCACTTTTATGAGAGATTATTCAAAGAACGCAGTGTTCATTTTGGTTTAGTTGAGAGATACAAAATAATTTAAAGTAAAATATGATCATAATTTATTTCTACTCGTTATCTTAGTTACATGTTTATTTGAAGTGAAAGTCAGTCAAGTTGAAGATATTTGCATAAATATTCTTTTTATTGTCATCAATTAATCCACTGGACATCTTGAATTAAAACATATTTATTGATACGTATTACTATCAAGGATAGTCAATAGTAGGTGGTTTATGTAAGTTTAAGCCATATATAGTAAAAAAAAATTATAGTGGAATTCCGGATATCATATTTTTGTTCCTAAAATAATATAAAATAATATATAATTAAATGGTATTGTCTGTGATTAAATCCAAATTTTGAAGGTAAACGATCTCAATAAAGTTTTCCCATAACAGATTAATTGTCTTTATTTAATTAAGTAATCTTTAATTTTTCTAAATAAAGCAAGAAATCAACGTACTATCTATTTTTTGTTAACTTATAACTATATCACTTTAAAAGAAAATTTGTTTCTTTATTGAATTTGAAAAAAATAAACTACATTGTTTTAGTTATTCAATGTATTATGAGAATTTGTTAAAAAACCAACATCATTTAATGTATGCTAATGAACGTGAAATACAAGATCTTAAAGATAAATTGCATGAAAAAGATCTGGAAACTAGTACAACAGTACAATTTCAAATGTCTGAACAAGTACATGACTTGTTGTTAGGTAAGCATTAGAATAAATTGACAACTCAATCAAATAATGTGGTTTTCTTTTAACATGCCCAATATTTTATCCTTTCTAAACTTAAAAACTGATCAGTAAGGGGATTTGTAGAGACTGCATTACTTTTGACTAGCTTCAAGATGGATTGACTGGAGTTCTGGTCAGAAGCTGTGAGCAGTGGAGTCCAATCCGTGTCGGATTTGTGACCGTTATCCATCTCAGACAGTAGATGAAGGGCTGTTGGAGATAATGGATAGATAGAAGTTAGACATTAACACTATTAGATACAGGCTAAGTGGTCTAGAAGTTAAACGCTCATGAGCGATACCGAAGGTTCTGGGTTCGAACCGTACGTGCGAAGCAGTGGGTACACACTTCTGAGGGGTCTGATGCTAGGATGAAAAGGCCGTTCTATGATTCTGGATTTTCGATGGTGTTCTAGCTAAGATCAACTAGTGAATCTAACTGTTAAAAGCCGATGACCCTTTTCGTACTGGTCAAGAAGTGGGAATCTATGGTGAGTAAAACAAGATTTATGGAGAACACAAACTTTTTACGACTTTCCAACTAATTATTTTCTAGACATCAAATAATTCACTTCTCATTTATAACACATACTGGAATATATAATATATTTCATAACGTAGCTTGCTTAAGTTATTTAACTTTCATACGTAATAAATCCAAACAAAATGGTCTTCTAGGTTTTTTCTTTTCGTTGCCACGTAAACTGTGAAAATATACGCGGCTGCATTGCTTAAGGATACTATTGATGAGATGAATAATAACAAAACTGTACAGATTAAATGAAAGTGAAAACAGTTGGAGGTACTAGATGAATGGATTTTAACCAGCATTTTACCAATTAAAGATTAAATAAATTAAGGAAGCTAATCGTGAAGATTTCTAAAATGATCTTCACCTTTGATCCGTCTAACTTTTTGTGTTAACCATAGAGCTTGATAGTTGTGGAAACAAAACAAATTGTAGATCTTCTGGATGATTCATATGGAATAAATAAAATCATAAATATTGAACAATTATTCGGAAAATAAATAAAGAATATATCATTTTGAAATTATTGCTTATTGTTTGTACAAAACATTGTGTCTGATTTATTAAATCCGAAAAAACCCTTTTGTTTATTGTTGTTGTTGCCATGCACTGAATTTTTATGGTTGATTATAATTTTATAATCGTCTACTGGATTTCAAACAGTTTTGAGTACTGGGTTATTGGTAACTATTCTTCAGTATTTCTAGATTAATATTAAAAAGTAAAACACTGTTCAGAATGGCAAATGTAACAATTTCGTAGATGAAAGCTTAAATTATTGTAGACTACTCATAATTTACCATTCTAGTTCATCAGGGATCCTTAATAAAAAGAATGAAATTTGGGTAAAAGAGTTTAATTTATTTGTTCTATATCTTCAATCGTATAGAAGTTACAGCGTTGCGAACAAGAATACTTGAATTAGAAGAGAAACATAAGGAAACGGAGGCTAAAGTACAAAAACGTGTTAGAAAGGAACTTAGTGATTCCATTCGTAAACTATTTGGTCTTAGTTTCGAACAAAAATCACGTATTGACGAATATCGTAATCAGTTAAAAGCAATTACATTACAACGTATTGCTGAGATAAAAGAAGAAGCTTCTACAGAAATGTTACGCATAAAAGAACGAACCGCCGTTGGTACTTCTGCAGGTGAATTAATTTTTTGATGATATTTCTAAAACTCATAAATTTGTGCTATTTTATAAATGTGATTATGATAAGACATTTAAATTTTAAGTGAGTTGTAGTTTTTCATGATGATAAATATGACGGTTTCAAATCCTTATTACAATCAATATTGGATTTCTATTGAATCTTTTTTGAAACAGTGATTCAGATGTTTCTAGTCAACAAGTAAGATAACATATTTAATCAAATTTACTTAGTACAAAAATTAACTCCATCATTAAATAAATTCGATTATACTTAAAGTCATGCAAGCCAAGTAGTTAATCCATTAGTAAAGATTTCGTTTGTCATGGGTTATATATGTCTATCTAACTAATGAAACACTATCAAACTCAAAACTTAAATTCATAATATTTAGAATTTGATTTTGACTTTTTAAGAACGAAACAAAATCCCTTACTTTATAATATCGTTAACCCCAATAGTTACACTTTGTTGGATAAAGTTCAATCATTAATTTCGACTTAAAGAAAGTTAGTTTCTAATCTGTTATATCTTTATCTCCTATTAATTATACTTGAAAACGGAGACTTACTACACTTCCTATGAAGAGAAGTAACAACACAAGAGAATATCATATTTTGAATAAATAAATCCATGTTATATCGAATAAAGAGTATGACACTAAATAATCATTATTATATTTGAATGAAAAACAGAAGTAATGTTAAAAAGATAATCACAAAATGAAATAATTATGTAATTTTGTCTTATTATTTTGTTCTATCGTAGTCAATAATGGATTCGTAAACAATTCTATTTATGTTCACGTGACGACCAAAAATAAAAATAATTTAAAACTAGTAAATAATTAAATTCCAGTAAAAAAATCCTTTCGGTTTTTACAAGTGATATTCTTTTGACTTACTTACGCCTGTTACCCTCATGAAGGAACGTAGGCCGCTTACTACCAACACTCAATATTTATTTTATGATCATTATTATCTAATGATATTTTCAATCGGAAAAAGTGATTTTGTTCTTGTTTTTTCACTTGCATCACTTTATAATTGTAGTTTATAAAAATAATGACTAAATATTTTGTTAAAATTCATGCATGCGATAATCTAATGTTTATGGGTGCTTAATATGTGTGTAACATCAAATCAATTAACTGTTGTCTTTTTTTTCACTTATAATACGGATTATACTTACTACTACTTACGCCTCTTGCTCCTCGTGAAGAAACATAGGCCGCTCACCAGCAATCTCCATCCAACCCTGTCCTGGGCAATCCTTTCCAGCTCTTTCCAGTTGTCATTCATCCTTTTCATATCTGCTTCTATTATCCGACGTAATGTGTTCTTAGGCCTTCCTCTTTTCCGCTTCCCTTCAGGATTCCAAGTTAGGGCTTGTCTCGTGATGCAGTTTAATGATATGCGTGATGTATGTCCTATCCATTTTCATAGTCTTTTCCTAATTTCTTCTTCAGCTTGAAGCTGATTTGTTCTCTCCCACAAAAGGCTTTTGCTGATGGTATCCGGCAAATGGATGTTGAGTATCTTGCGAAGACAGCTGTTTATAAATACTTGTACCTTCTTGATGGTGGTTGTCGTAGTTCTCCAAGTTTCAGCTCCATACAGTAGAACTGCCTTGACGTTGGTATAATACGGATTATGTAATATTTTAAAATTAAATGATCGAGGTTTGCGAATTTATTTTACCAATTTCAATTAGATAATTTAGTAAACTGAAGTATATTAGCAATCATCGAAACAAAAATCACCAGTAATAAGGATTCCTGAAATTTCTATGCTATGATACACATTTTTCTCATCTTCGTCATAGATATTCTTTGAATATGATAACTATATATTTAACTATCAAACTTGTTTCTATATACCAAATAAATTGGTCATAGCGATCATCATATTTGAACAGTTTCCCACATTCAGGTATTTTCGATAGTGTTCAATATTTTACATATACGTACCAAAGTACATACATCGAAAGAGTTGAGAGGAAGATTAGTTTCTGCATCCCCGATCATGTTCCTGAGACTAGAATGAAAGCTAAATTGCAGCAGTTCAATCACTTGTCATTTGCTCGACTGTGGACATGATGTTGATGTTTCAAAATCCCTTAAGATTATCAGTAAACAAAGAACTTCGGATTCATTGAGGTTTACCGAAGCTATTGATATGAAAAAATTTTTAACAAAACTTACGCAACCAAAATGATGCAGTTAGTAACCTTACTTATTCGTGATTTCGTTTGCATGGTTATATTATTAAATACTATTTTTTACGATGTAAATTGTAATTTCTTGATTCGTTCTTCTTAGCTTAATTACTCTGGTCTACGTTTTTAAGTATCACAAAGTTCATAACATAAATCTTTGAATCCTAAAAATCCTGTTTCTTTTCAGTTTTCTCTTGTAGAATATTCTATATTCAACCTATAAATAAACATCCATTTGAAGAGTTTTTAATTGTTTCATACTTAATTTTTTTATTATCCTACTTCTGCAAGCAAACCCAACTTTATTCAAAACATTTGCGATATAAGGAACGCATACTTGTTTTGTTATTACTGAATTATAGCATCGTTTCTGGGCTAGTAAGCATGTGAAGAGAGCCAGGCAAATAAACCAATTCATGCGATTGTTCTACAAATACTGTTCCCTCTTTCTTCAAATATTTTGATCATTCTAAATTGAGAGTAGATCTTTCACCGCTATGTGTAGTTGACATATTCCAGATTTTGTATCAAATAGATTGTATAGAAAAATTTGCATTTAATGATTTCCAACACTCGAAATTAAAGTTTCTTGGAACATTTGAACCATTCTACAATCAGATAAAACAAAATTGTTTTTCTTCATATATATTGGTTGTTCACCTCTTTACATTGATGCTTAGAACAGTAATCGGTCAGCCTCTTTGAATAACGCGTTGGTGTTGGAAGCAAACTGCGTAAGGTTGAAACGCACTCCCTGGATTCCACTGCTATCCACCATCCATGTCTGCCTAAAGCTGTTATCCGTTTTATTGAATTACAGAATTTAATTCTAATTCAGTTTGATCAGTTATATAATTAAAATAAAATTCCATAATTAACAGTACTAATGATGATCACGAAAGTTAAAGTTGATTACCGGTGCTATGTATTAGTATTCAGCACCTTTTCTGTAATATCATAATATCTTTTCATTCGATATAACCTATGTATATTTACATCTTATAGAAGATGAATTAACTGAACGCAATTACCATTTGTCTAAGGAAATTACCACTTTACACCAGCATAATATTAGTCTTCAACAAATGATGAATCGTTTAAAAGTTATGGCACAATGGCAACAAACCACATTAAAGTGTACATTTGAAAAACAGGTTTGTCAAGATTATATTTATCTTAACGTTATTACACATTTTATTCATGTATGTGCTACATTTATATTTTGGTATATGATAATTAATTTCACGCCGTCTTAGGGAGTTTGAATTGAAACCGTAACCAACAAAATGCTGCTTTTTTGAGTAACCCTCCCGCCCCCGGTTTCTTGGTCATATATCATTTTTAGAGTTCGATCAGTTCGTTTAACAAATGTGTTGCCTTCTGTGCGGAAAGAATTTATTCGTATTTTGTGTATTCCTAACATATGACATGATTCCCTAAAAAGCAACCTGTTTGCAAATTATGTAAGGGATTCTCAGTAGTTGCTGCATGCACCGTAACACCATTTAATTATATTTGACAAACTTGTTGAACCTCGTACGTAATAGTCGTTGGAAAGTGGCGGATGGATTAGTTAATCTAAAAGGTATTGTCTGGAACTCATACGAACCAGATAGAATACTGAAGGTTACTTTGCAAGTCATCTGCGTACAATTCAACTTATCAGTAATAAAATGCCAAATTCAATATCGAGAACTATTTTGAGCCGGCTAATGCATCTAATATATTGTCGATGAGTGGCGATGGAAAGAAACCATGTCTTATAGCTTAGTTAGGCTCCCGGCAGTAAATGCATAGCACTAAAGACCTGTTCTCCTTTTATACCAGTACGATTAGTGCAACCCATTATGATGTTGACAGTGCTTTTACCATTCAGTTAAAGGCTTCTTTAATCTGGATGAGCATACGACGGAAGGGATCAGCATTTTGTGTTGATTTTGTCAATTGATGCCATTGTGAGTCTAATATTTCTCTAATTTTCAAGCAAAAACGGAGTAAAATCTTTTTAACGTTTGCTCCAATAATTCAGAATATTCCGGGGGGGGGGAATTTACAACCAAAGTTGACATGCGTGCTTCAATTAGATTAACGTTAATAGCTATTCGAATATCTGGAGATTTATATTGCCCCGATCTCGAACCTGAATGCGGAGCCGTGAATATTTTTATCTTTATTTCTTACACCCACATTTGGCCAGAAAATATGTTCCTAAAATCTCATGACAATTGAGGTTCTATGCGTCGAACTTATCGTTTTTCAGTTCCGATCTCGTTTTTTTTCTTGTCAATATTACGCTCATCCTATCAACCGTAGGAGAACAGTCAATAACATCCCTAGCAGTATGCGATCAGACCTCATCTGGGACTAACTTACTGCTAGTGAAAGATTACGCCGCCCCTACATCCAATAAAATGTAAATGTATGGATGAATAATTCACTGTACAACTCTAGAGATAAATCTTTCTGGATGCTACATCAACAGAATGGAATATTCAACTCACCTACTTCCAGATTCATCTTACAACATTTTACACGACAGCCATAGAATTTCCAAAATGGCGCTGAAGACATTTTGATTTCAAAGCTTTCACTTTGCTCGTTTCTAGACTAGTTCTTCTAACAAGTGACTGTAGGAAAATTGAATTTCATATAATATTTATGTTAAATATTTTTACTTATTATTCGATCCAAACAGCTTGGTATTGTTGAAAATCAACGAAATCAAAATAAAACAAACGCTACAAGACTGAATATGTTATCTGAACAACAAATACGTTTGTTAAATGAAGAAATCACTAATATGCGAGAACATTTAGCCAATACACAAAAACATTTGAATGATCTACGTATTGCATTAGATAAAGAAGTAAGTCAAGTTTAGAAAATTTTTTATTTCAAACAAAATAAAATAATCAAAATATTTGTATACAATATAAATTGTTGCATTGATATGACTAGAATTCCGGTAACAAAATGAAGGGGTTCAAATCGCTGTATATTACAATTACATAAGTGAACAAAGATAAAAAAATGTTAAAACCGTTAGTTCAAAACAGAAAGTGAAATAGGCTAAAAGTACCAAGTAATTCCAGGTTTCATTAGGAAAAGAACTTAAACACATCTACCTCATTTTATTATCGGCTGTGTCACATAGGGTATCTAGCCGCTGATCTATATCGTCATGACAGTCCCGATCAGCCAGTCTATCTTTTTACATTTCAAATTAAACGTAATCAACCATACAGGCTTGATTTATGTCTTCATTTGATCAATTTTCGTCTTCATCAAACAAGTTTCGTTTGTGGTACGAATCTCAAGTAACGTTAAACACTAACCAGATCCGTCTAACAAAACAAGTTCACTTCAACCCAGATAAGTTTGCAACTTCATTTACTGCATGATTCTTGGGACTTACACTCAAATCGTGTAGTGTCTTCCGCTGTTGGTTTCATTGCCCACAATCTGTGCTGTAAATACACTGGAGATAAAAAACTTAAGTCTGGTCAGCCCTAATGGGTTGGTGTCTGAAGAAATCTTAGCACGGATTCAAAAAGCTCGTTTGGCTTTTGCCAACTTAGGTCACCTATGGCGAAGGCGAGATATCCGTCTACCGATAAAAGGACGGGTATACTGCGCGGTGGTTTGTTCTGTTTTAATTTACGGTAGCGAAACATGGCCATTAAGAGTAAAAGATACACGTAAGCTACTAGCGTTTGACCACAGATGCCTTAGAAATATTACTCTCATCTGCTGGGATCACCGGGTAAGTAATAGTGGGGTTAGACACAGGGTATTAGGTAATGATGGTAAATCAGTTGATGAGGTTGGTAATCTTCATCGACTGAGATCGTTGGGCCACGTATTACGTATGCCTGAACACTGATTATCACGACGCACAATGCTGACTAGTGTTGGGGATGGTTGGAAGAAAGTTAGTGGCGACTAAACCAAAACATGGCATCAGTGCTTGAAGTCACTAACTTGTGGTCTGAGCCATGTTGGTAGATGCAGACTACTTGGTTGGGGTTCGCATGACTATCGTAACCAATGGTTGGAGACTCTTGGTGACATGGCTCAGAATCTATCACAATGGCGTAGTTGTATGCACTCTTTGTCTTCACTTAAACTAAGAGATTAAAATCACTTCATATCTTTCTTTCTACTAACTAATTCTTTCTTCATGTACTATACCCTTATATACAATCTTTCTTTTATATATTATCACCATTGACGTAACCACTCCGATGAATCCGGTGTTCATCTTGCTGTGCTAATGCGGTATGGCAACTTGGACCGATGCATATATGTGCGTAGTCCTACGTTGTAGCTGATTGACTTAAAACAATGCTACTACTTAGCAGTATAGTGACACTCTGATAGACAGTCTGATCTCTTATTGACGCTATCTGTGAAGTAGATAGAAAAAATGTGGAGAAATTCGAACATTTCACTTCTATTTAAAGTGTGTGCTGATGTTGTTGTTCGGAAGAGCGATGAAACTTCCATGACCAAACCATCCTGCTCAGAGAACAAAACCCCACCTAAGTCATCCGCCTGAGCAATAAATCTTCTCCACCATTTAGAAATGACCTTTTGATATGTTTTCTAGTTGGTGTTTATGCATCCCTCCAACTAAACGAAATGATCATAGTGTCCTAATAGAAAACATAATGACATTTCCATACTTCATAGTAAAAATATATGTCCATGTATAATTTATTTCGGTGGGGCTGAATTGATCAGCACAGTGAATAAATATACACGTGTGTATAATTTTAAGTCATCAATTTTCTATCATATTCTTCATTTATTAATACATTGTAGATGAAAGATAAAATTGATAGGAAAAATGCAGCTGAACGAAAAGCTTCCACTGACAAACAAATGGCTACAGTAAAACAAATGCATATTGATCAGCTAGTAAGTGTTCATATTTACATTGATTGGTTACTGTGTAGTGCAGTCAATGTGGTGTTTGCCTAGACCTTAGTATTGATTAAGTTCCCATATGACCACTAGTCTTAGTGAATTGATATTCCGTGCACTGTTGGTACATGTCAGCATTAATCGTTAGTGTTTGTATAATGAGGTAATCAATTACTTATTCAAAAACATTCTGTTTAATAAATCGTAGAAACTGAAATGGTTTACTAACGACTATAATTTGTTTTACTTTGATCATATACCACTCACTGTATCAAGACTATATTTATTGTTTATAATTACATAACCCCTTACTTATGATTAAACAAACAGGAACTGAGTGAAAAAGTTTGTTTTTTTTTAAATAAAAGTAAGGGCTTTCAACCAAATGTAAAACTTATCATTTATATGACTATTCGTTAACATTTGAATGACATTTGATGTCTTAAATGTTTTCACATGGGTGTCTATCATAAACCATTTTACCACCACAAACTCCAGAATAGCGACTACTATAACCTCATTAGGTTGAGTTCGATTTGTGAATAAACATTAAGCAATCTCTGATTTAATTTATATACATAGATATATAAGCACATTAGTACGAGGCCCGAAATTCATATGCGCCACACAAATCAATCGATTTGTGTGAGGGTTGAAATACTGCACGGGTGCCCAAACCGAAGAACGTGGTTTTCTTAGGGGGCCATACCCGGAGCCCTTGACCTAGAAGTCTAATCAACAAGGCAGTGGAGCAACATAAGGAAATGCAGTCCTATGGTAGTTGGTAACCAACGACAGGTCCATATGCCATTTGTTCATCCAGAATCCTGGAGCCCATATATACCATTGGTTCGAAATCACGGTTTTTCAACTCCCGTAGATGGCTCCTATGTATCTACCAACCCGGTTGTAAAGCCAGACATTCGTTTTTCATCCTCTCAATTTTGTAGACATCTCCACCGTGAGAGGGCAGTGAGTAGGACGTCACTGACAGTGACTGTAAACGCGTGGCCATGTGAGAACATTTCAACAAGGAGAGTTAACTCTCCTCACCTTTAGCCATACCATGGCATTTGGGGACTATATATATATATTCTCAAAATAGTTACAGTGCACACCAATGTACAGATTTGATTAGATTCATACAAAATGGAGGTAATATTTACTAAAGAGGAGGCTACATTATTCGAAATTACACAATTCATAAATTAGTTTGACTGAAAATTTGTTGCAGAAATTGAAATGTCATGAGGTATAAAATAGAAGCACAACTTATAATTACATGTGACAGCGTATTAGTATATAACGTCATTTTCGGAGTATAAATTATAACAGACATCGGTATTGTAAGCATATTTTCTTTAAAGCCAGAAAAATTACATGACTACAACGTTTTGTAATGATATAGATGTGACGTCGATTCAAGTAAAGGTACAATGAACAGTTGATTTGCTATACGTTCAATTTGGTGTTATGCATAAGTTCTTAAACATGTTGATCATCTTTTATTGGTAAACACTTTCAAATTCATGCTATCTAAATAAATAGTGATTACGATAAAGAAAAGCTATAGAAATTATAATAGTATTACTCTGTCTTCTATAATATTATTATCAAATGATGAACTATATTCCCTAAACAATCTTTCTTAATAATTGTCTATTTTTTAACTATCAGTGTTTTACTTTTCTTTTCATCTATTCAAGATAACAGAAATAACAGAAAAAGATACTGTACTTAATGAGATGAATACAATTTTAAGTGCAAGCGCAAAGACAAGAAAACAAGAAGCTGATAAATCAATACGACAAGTTGATTTATTGCGTAAACAGTTAAAAGAAGAAAAACGTTTGAAACAATCTGCTTTACAAAAAATTGATGATATAATGTCACAAGTGAGTCGTTTTTTTTTCAAATTATTTCTCTTCGAATTCCTTCTCAGAATATTTTTTCGTAGTATATTTCTTTAAATATTCTGTTTCATGTCATATTGATACAATATATCATGTATTATTTATATTTTATATCAAGTATATCAGGTAATTTATTGTAATCAGTTATGTGCAATATACTGAATACTTAACTGTCCTTGCATATTACTGCACTCTAAAATATTAATATCACCAATTTAAATTAAATTAAAGCAATCGTAAACCTTTTTCCCGGACGCCTAGATGTAGTCACAACATACACTTTGGTCTATAAACTTTAGAGCCGCTGAATACCATAACGAAGCTATTAAAACATAACATTAGTATAACTAGATTTCAAATATAAAAAGAAAATGTTTTGATTCTCTATTGTATAACAGTTTCAAAGCATATAATATATTAAAATTACCAAAGGTCGAGTCGTTTGAGATAACTTCATGAGTCATTGACTTAATACTGAGTTTCTTACTTATTAATGTATAGGTTATCATTTCTATTCAGAATATTTAGATTATAAACGATTGATTATATTAAAATTTATCAGCAAATAACTATAGAAATTTAACCAAATAATACAATTATTTACTTCACTAAAAAGTATTTTTATAATGTCCAATTAGAATAAACAAAATAGAACTTGTCGTTCTGAATATCTTGTTTGAGCTGCTTATAATTTATATCCATTGAAGCCCCCAAATGCCCTGGTATGGCTAAAGGTGAGGAGAGTTAACTCTCCTTGTTGAAATGTTCTCACATGGCCACGCGTTTACAGTCACTGTCAGTGACGTCCTACTCACTGCCCTCTCACGGTGGAGATGTCTACAAAATTGAGAGGATGAAAAACGAATGTCTGGCTTTACAACCGGGTTGGTAGATACATAGGAGCCATCTACGGGAGTTGAAAAACCGTGATTTCGAACCAATGGTATATATGGGCTCCAGGATTCTGGATGAACAAATGGCATATGGACCTGTCGTTGGTTACCAACTACCATAGGACTGCATTTCCTTATGTTGCTCCACTGCCTTGTTGATTAGACTTCTAGGTCAAGGGCTCCGGGTATGGCCCCCTAAGAAAACCACGTTCTTCGGTTTGGGCACCCGTGCAGTATTTCAACCCTCATACAAATCGATTGATCTGTGTGACGCTTATGTATTCGGTGCCTCTTTGTACCAATATTTATGTGTTCAAATAAATATTCATTGGGAATATGTCCAAATAATCATTCGATATAGAAATTCACAGTTAAATGTAACACTTATTCTAAGCAAATACGTGAGAGCTAAAGAAATACACTAAAAAAATAAATACAATTGATTATAGTTGTCAAGTTAGGAACTGCTTATCTACACTTTACTTATTTCAATCAAGTAAATAGTAAAATTAGATCAAAAATCAATTTATTTTCTTTAGGATTCTTTAGTAAAAGTATCAGAATAGAAATATTATAAGGTATTTATTTTTAGCTGTTTACTAGTCATGATCAGCGTTGAGATTGGCACACATGTACGCTGCGCTTAGTTCCCACATCAAATCAACACAAAGTGATTAATTTTGCAAAAACAATATTTGAGGAATCGAAACCATGCAATGGCAACGAGTAAGACTGAATATTGATAATATAGTTCAAAAGATAGGTTTGGAAAGTGCGTAGAAAGAAATATCTGAACTTAGGATCCAGAGGAGAATAAGAATGAACGCATCTGCGCCACTGTGTTCGATACAGAACCATGTCACACAAAGTCTCATAACAATAATCATGATTATCATACTGACACCAATCAGCTAGAACTAAGCGGCTTAGATCAACAGTTAATGACTTACTGGATTGATGCCACGTATTTATTTGCTCACTCATATTAACATTTGGACACAATCTAATTAGTATACTTTGTTTACTGTACTCGTTTTAAATTGTTTATCAAGTGAAGTTACAACCTGAATTGTTCATCACAATGAACTATAAATTACACAATGTTGAATATGAAAATGTTTTTTTTATTTCTGCATATTTCAGTCAGTCAGTCAGTCAGTAACAACGTAGAACTTCGTACATATGTACATCAGTTCGAGTTGCCACACCACATTAGCACAGAGATGCAGTTGTCGATTCAAATCCCGTAGTGGTAGAGTTAATAAGAGTATAAGCAGTAATCGGGAAGATTAGGGTTTGGAGATGTTATTTAAAGAGTATAATCCAGTGAAATAAATTTGGAAAGAGGAAAAAAGGGACATGAAGGATTCAGAAGATTAGAATTTGGGAGAACATAAAGAGTGTATGCACCTGCGCCATTGCAAACGATTTTGAGCCATGTCATTCAGGGTCTCTAACCATCGGTTGCTATCATCTCGCGGTCCCCAACCAGGTAGTCTACACCTACCGACATGACTCAGACCACTTGTCAGTGACTTCATGAACTTGTGCCATGTTTTGGTTTGGCCGCCCCTAGCTTTCTTCCAACCTACTCCTATACCACTGAACATAGCGCGTCGAGGCAGTCGGTGGTCGGGCATACGTAACACATGTCCCAGCCATCTCAACTGATGAATTTTCACTACTTTATCAATTGATTTGCCATCCTTACCTAGTACCCGTTTCCTAACAACTGCATTACTTACTCGATGGTCCCACGATATACGAGCAATATTTCGAAGACACCTATGATCAAATACTAGTAACCTACGGATATCCTCTGCTCTTACTGGCCATGCTTCACTGCCATAAAGTAGGACGGAACGAACTGCTGCGCAGTAAACACGTCCTTTGGTTGATAGACGGATATCTCGCGTACGCCAAAAATGACACAAGTTGGCAAAAGCTAGTCGAGTCTTCTGTATCCGTGCTGAGATTTCGTCACACACCAGACCACACGGGCTGATGAGACTTCCAAGATAAGTGAAGCGGTCGACACACTCAATTACTTCATTCCCTATCATTAGCTCGGGTGTCGATGCAACCCAATCCTGAAGCAACATTTTGCATTTCGAGGTGGAGAATCGCATCCCGAACATGCTTGCATTGTTGCTTAGAGTGGTCATAAGACTCTGCATTTTGTCAGCGTCTTCACCAAATAAAACTATGTCATCAGCATATTCTAAGTCAACAAGTGAATCTCCCGGTAGAAGTTCAACCCCTGGAAATTTAGATGAGGAGAGTGTTATCTCTAAAAGTACGTCGACCACAAAGTTGAACAAGAATGGGGAGAGTGGACAGCCGTGACGAACACCATTTTAGGTACTCAATTCTGATGTATGTATTAGAAAAGACTAATGATAATGGGAAATGATAGAATATTTTAATCCGGCTAAGATTTATTAAGTTATATATTCCGATTGAGATGATAAAAATTATTTTAACTTTGTTTTTATATACCTAAAGACAAACTAGTAGATTTGAAGTTGATCATAATAATTTTGTATATAGTAGTTGTAATGGGACTGTCACAAGTAAAATGTAGTATGATCGTTTGCATACCTTTCTTAAAATTTCAGAACGTGCTCTGTGTTGAAAAGATGAATACTAAGACTTAAAAAAATGACATTATCAGACACCAGATCTACCGCTCCATATATCTTTGAACGAAATTTTTTACATTAAATTTCGTTTAATTAAGTTATCAGATTTTATTAATGTTATTTATTTGTAGAAGTTATTTAATCTTATAGTTTAAGTCGCAAATCGATCTTAACCGGACAGCCATTGCTGATTAGGAAGAACTGAACAGCTAGTTCGTCTTAGTATAGAGATCCTTAACAGTGTGCATCACAACCCCAATAATGATCAAACAAGACCTTTAGTTCTGGTGCTTAACCTTTAGACCACTGAGTAGACACCTCATGATTGAGATCTTTAACTTCAATCAATTCACGATATTGGATAACTGTATTTTAATGCTAGTAGTGTGTAACTATCTTACATCTAACACGGCCTAACTCCACTAGTCATCGCTTCTAACTAAAACTGTGGGAACTACTCTTTGAAATTAGTCAGTAGTGAATATATAAGTATTATTCGGTCCTCAGTGGGGCTGTGGATGCGCAATGATAAGGTTTTCAAACTACGATGAAACATTTATCCCGTGCTCCTAGGTTTCCGGCATTTGTTTAACTAGGATCGCTTTGTGATATAAATTATCATATTTTACTAAACAGTATATTTATAATGTCTATAAGCATTTGACATCGTAGTGCCTAAAATTATTACTAAGTTTTAATTAGTTATGGGAAAACTGCCTATCGGTTTATGTGATTCAAAATATCATGCAATGTTAACAAAACAAACAGCTAATTTAATTCATGATGGTTCGAACTATCTTGTTGTTGTTTTGATTGAACTTCGATCAGTCTTAGTTAGCTAATGGGTATCCTGTGTGGATCGCCTCACTACAGACATTATGACAAAAGTTTATTCAGAATTAGTGAGTTGTCCTCAATGGAATTCAAGATGCGCGTTTTGTCATATTTTATCAGTTGGATGTAACCACATCTCTGAGGTCAAATATCCATTTGCTTGTGTAACGGGTACGATTTTTAATTTAATCTGTGATGGTTTGAAGTGACTATCAACTTTGTGATCAAGGTATATCCATCTGACGAGTCCCGAACAGGACGGAACGGGCGTTTTGGATCCCACTGCTAGAGACATTTCATCTATTTTCTATAACTCACTAACTACTTCTTTTCTGTAATTACCTGATTGATTAGTACATCGATTTATCCACCGTATAAAATACAATATGCGTTTTAAAATGGAATGAGTTAATTTCAAAAAGTCATTTTACTGTTCCTGTTTTTCTAATTTTTCACAGTTATATCAATTTGAATCAGTCCAAACAGCATCTTCAGGTAAAAATTGACATATAATTGTAAAAATGTAACTTGTTTCTTAAACTTAGCGTCTTTTTTTACTATTACTACTACTACTACTTTGAACTAAATTAAAATACATGGAAATATCACGAACACTGAACTGCTAGCTTTTATGTGTTTAGATAGTTTTATCCGGAATTTTCACAAAAGATTATTTAGTTAAATTAACTTATTCCTCAATCGAAATCTGCGTTAAAGAGACAAGCTAAACAGAAATAAACAAGGCTGAAACACAAAACTAATATGTTCAGTCACTGATAGCTGATCATGTAAGAATGTATATGCTTACTTAATATACGGTGATGAAATTCAGTTATTGAGGATCACGTTTGGTAGAGTTGAGGGCTTTTAATAATTTGAAAACTACGTTTATTTCTTACTGGAATGACGATGTCAATCATCCTATTACTTCATATTTATGCCTGTTCACTATCTGCCCAATTTTTTCCATGACGCTCATCATAATAATGTTCTTCTCGATCTTTGTCAAAAGCATACAGCCTATAACCAATTCATTGTTATCTAAAGTTTTGAATTTCACAATTAACTTGTCGATCGAAATTTACTAGACAACAATAATAATAAAATAAATGTAAATAAAACGAATCTAAAATTGAGAGAATAACAACTTTTTAATTAAGACTATTCGTTATCTTTTAGAGTGTTAACATAGTAAGTTGTTTTTGAAAAGAACTACTAACAGGATTTTCTAAAATAATTTCACATTTCATTTTGATCATGTCCATTTATTTACAAGAAATTTGTTATAACGCTCGGTTTTACTTCGTCTAATGTTATAACGGTTGGGTTTCCAACGTTTACACGTATGGGACGTTAATTTACCTTAGACGAATATCTACACTAGATTCCCTCTCAGTGTCTATTCTACAGGACGTCAAGAAAACTCAGACCAAGAACACGTGATTAGCGCGACCACAACGTAATGTATTTCCACACCAAAAACCCGATACAATCCAACAACAATGAACAATCAACAATAAGTGAGTAATAATAATAATAATAAGGATAAGGGAAAATATAACTTATCTGACACCTGTCAGACTATCTACTTGTCTGACTAAACAAACAACAAATCCTTATCATTCTCGCCCACATATCAAAAGTAAAATGAGAAATATTGATAATAAGGGTATTCATTAGTTAACGATATTTGATAAACGAATAAATAATATCAACTAGTAATATTTTCAGTAAACAGCAACTGAAACAGAATCATACATTTGAGAATGTTCTATTCTAATGTAGTATGATGCCATCAGAATGGGGATTTGTGGAAATAGTAGTAAATTTTTTGAATAGTTGAATTCATGAGTCGATCTAAGCTAGACCACCATTAAAACTCTGGAAGCACTGGATGACCGTTTGGTTCTAGTATGGGATTTCTCGGTAGTGTACATCCACGACCCCACAAAAGGGACTCGAGCCCAAGACCTTCGGTCTTGCACACGAACGCTTAACCTCTAGACCACTGAGGCGTCATGATGTGCTCACCAGTGACTATCTTCAAGATGGATTTCCTGGACTTCTAGTGAAAAGCCATGACTAGTGGAGTACAATCCGTGTGCGGTGGAAAAATTTGTTCGCCCGACACAAGGGATGAAGGGTTGAGCAAGATCGTGGATTGATTGAGGTTAGACATTAACATGGTTGAATACCGCTCAATGGTCTAGAGATTAGGCGTCCTCAAGCGAGACCAAAGGTCCTGGGTTCGATTTCCCCGTGCAGGATCGTGGGTGCGCGCTGCTCAGCCCCACACTAGGATGATACGGCCATCCAGTGCTTCCACGTTTCTAATGGTGGTTCGGCTAAGTTCGACTTTTAAAATAGTATGATGTATTGTATAAAATAGCATTACTTTAAAAAGTGGGTTGTGTTTTCAGTCAGTCATCTAATGATATATAATAATTTAAACCGAACTAGTTAAATAACATCTATAACTATAATTGGCTATCATAATATAATTGTCAGTGTAAAAAAAGGTGATTTCAACAAAAACCGATAAATTTGTATGAATATTGGAAAAAGAAAAGTTCTAAAACTGGTTTTATATTTACTCAAGCTACTAATACAAATAATGTTTCCGCAAGCTATCAAGATACACTATCGACAAAGTTTGCTGTTGAGCCTTTGAAATGTATTACACTAAACCATAATCTAACATTCAAATTGAAGATATAAAACATACAAAAAGGCTAGTGATAAGATGTTTTGCTGTATTATTATTTGAATTGTTTATCTTCTAGATTAAGTAATATTAAACTGTATAATTAGTAAAATACAGAAAGCTTCATAATTGTTATTCTTTATAAAAATCAGTATATGTTACTTTTTTATTCTTATAGAAATAAAACAAAAACCTTCATCAGCTAATCTGTTAGGTCGAACAGATAAAGGACAGTCAACTGGGATCCGAACAAAAGTTCAAGGTGATCAGGTTCAGAATACAAGACCAGTTACAGTGAGCTATTGATTATTTGTGAGGTTACTAACTACGGTTATTTTCTAATATACCCAATAGGGAAACAAATAGAATATTTGCGTATATCTTTTAATGAATACTCACAACGTTTTTTTTACCAATTCAAACAGATTCCCAGGGGTAAATGTGATAAAAATAAGAGAGCACAAATTACGTTTTTTTTTGTCGTAATAATAATTGGATTGTAGACTTCTGCTATATGCATAAGGATAATTTTCATCAATATATGATGACAGTCCACATGCCACCAATCATTAACAATTATTAGACAAATAACGTAGAAAAAATTCCCCAAGTTCATCTATGCGCTTAATTGAATAGTCAACCACTACTTAATAGACATTAGTAATTAATTCCCCTTAATTACTACAACTATATTGCGGCAGGAAACCTTTGAGTTGTTCTATCAAAATTTTGTTAGAATTAAGTTACTTATTAGTTGATATTAGTATTGAAATTCAACTTCACAGATAACCACTTTCAGTTGTGAAGTTCACGGATGTCTAATTGGATTGTAACAGTGTTTAATAAGTCTATATTGCTGACGAGTTACATAACAGAATAGATGCGAACTAAATATCAATTGATTTATACTTTTAGTATAATCCAATATGAACTTTTTCTTTCTAATAAAGCATATTCTTTAATCATTTCTAAATGAACTTAACAAAGCATTGAATTTTAGTAGTATATCAGAACTATGTGTTATTATTCACTTCAGAAATTAATTAATGTGGATATCACCACGTTATTTATGTTCATTTTTACGGCTATTATTTTTTAATTTGTCCTCTATTTCAGTAGTAGAAAAAAAGACTATTTCATTAAGTCATCTTTTATTAAATTGATATGATTATGAAATCACAACACAATTAAACCACTATTCATAACTGAACAATAAATATGCAGAATTTTAAACGAAATTCCTATTCTTTATGATTCACCCATAAGAAATAACAAGTAATTTATTTCTAAATAAGTTTGAATTAAATTATAACTTAAAGGTAAACTAAGTCTACTACAAATTATTATTATTATTATCAGCTGAAGTTAGACAATAACACCGTTGGATGCCGGCTTTGTGGTCCAGAGTTTAAGTGCTCGCGCGCGAAGCCAGTAGGTCCTGGGTTCGAATCCCGTGGACGGGGTCGTTGGTGTGCACTGATGAGTCCCATACTAGGACGAAACGACCGTCTGGTGCTTCCAAGTTTTCCATGATTGTCTAGCTTTAATAGACTCATGAATTAATTATTAAATAATTATCAGAAGGGGTTTGTGGAGACTTTAGAAATTTTCACAGATTGGAATCATGAGTCAGTTGAGGCTAGACTACTATGGAAAGCCTGGAAGCACTGGACGGCCGTTTAGTTCTAGTATAGGACTCTTCATCACTGCGCATCCACGGTCCCACACCCCGCGGGATTCGAACCCAGGACCTACTGGCTTCGCGCGCGAGCACTTAACCATTAGACCACTGGGCCGGAATCCAACGGTGTTAATGTCTAACTTCAACCAATCCACGAAGTTGCGCCACCGTACACTATTGTCTTCAGTGAGCTGATATTTCACAACAGACCTGGTTGAACTCCACTGGTAACGACTTCCCACTAGAACTCCAGGAGTATCTCTTGAAGTCAGTCACTAGTGAGCAGATGATTATCAGAAGGGGTTTGTGGAGATTTTAGAAATTTTCACAGATTGAAATCATGAGTCAGTTGAAGCTAGACCACCATAGAAAACCTAGAAGCACTGAACGGCTGTGTTCCAGGTTTTCCATGATGGTCTAGCTTCAATTAACTCATGATCTCAACCATTGAAATTACTATAATATCCACAAAAACCCTTCTGATATGAATCTATTATTCTTAATTATTACATTTGGTAAAAATAAATGTTTTTTTTAATATATTAAATTTGTAATTAAGTAAAGACCAATTAGATGTTGTTTTTATTTTTAATTCATGTTAATTTTCCCAATAGATAATTGTTTAGTTTGATAAAGATTAACAGGGAAGTGGGATTAACATTCTTCAACCTTAAATTAAACTTTGAAAATATTGATATTTATTTATGACTAGTTAGTAAATCCCAAGCAAATATGATGCTCATTTCAAGAACTATACTTTTTCGATATTTTAATAATTAAAAATCGTTGCATTTTTTCACGATAATATAACATTTTATGATAAAGTTATGTTTTCTCATCTAGATGGTTTAATCGTAGAGATTTCATTGTCAGGTTTCAAGGCTTACAAAATAACTAGAAACCCCACTTCTGCATAGATTAAGCACTGACGATGTTGTTTAGACCAGCATTGAAAACTATACGATTAAATCATCTAGCACAGAGAACTCAACAACAGCAAAAATATCTTCTCCATTGCATTGTCGTACATTTATCACATTGATGGAGTTTACTTTTTTAGTCAGTTAACTTCATTCATTTTAACTCAGAAGATGGAAAAAAGTAATTTTCCAATAATAATTTCCATGTTTCATTTTATTCAAGGTTAGCATTCCATCATTACGTGAACGTTTAGCTGAGAAATTATTAAAAAATATACCACCTGATGCACATAAACAATTGGTTCAATTTCAAAAAGAAAAAACTTTTAATAACTAATTTCTTTGATTAATGATAATAGACAAAAGCATTGAGATGAATTCAAATATATATTATCAGTGAAATAACTTTATATTATTTATTATACGTTATAAGGATGTCCATTAGAAATAACTAAGATAAACAATGTACATTACATGTCATAAAAATACATCCTAAATAATGCTTGTTATTCGTTTTGTTTTCCCACGTGTTCCGAAATTGACCTACATAATATGTCATCCGTTTTTATCCAGTGTTATTGAGATTGCGAACCAAAATAAGTTGAAAAAAACCCACTGGAAACTAGAAAGCATTGGATAGCTGTCTCGTCCTAGTGTGAGAATCCTCAACAGTGTGCATCAAGCCTCCACCAGGGATTGAACCAAGCAAATTCAGTTCTCGAGGTAAAAGCTTAACCTTCAAACCACTAAGGTGGCATTCAGTCACAACGTAGAACCTGGGACATCGGTTGAAGTTGCCGTACCCTATTAGCACAAAGAGATGACATTGTCAGGCCAAATCACAAAATAGTAGATGTATTAACAGTATCAGTGGTAACAGGAGAGATTCGGCATCGAAAATAAGACTCGGAAATAAAATATAAATTAGTGTAATAAAAACACACAAATGGAATTATAAGGGACTCATGAGCTCAGAATTTGGGCGAAGACAAATAAAGGATGCACATGCGCTATCGCAAACGATTTCAAACCATGTCATTCTAAGTTTCTGACCATTGATTATGAAAACCGCACGACCGTAAACGGATAATCTGAACTTACATACAAGGGTCAATTCCATTGTTAGTGACTTAATGGACTGGTTTTATGTCTTAATTTGGCCGCCGCTAGCTGTCCTCCAGCATACTCTTACACCAAATAACATCGCCCGTCGATGTAGGTGGTGGATAGGCATACGTAACACATCCCCAACCACCTCAGTTGATGAAGATTTACTACCCAATCAGTTGATTTGCCACCCTTACCTGATACCATATTCATAACCAAGGCATTGCTTACTCCGTGGTCCCAAAATGCACGGGCAATACTTCGAAGACATCTTTGAACGAATAATGGCAACCCACAAATATCCTCTATTCTTAATGGCCACATTTCACACCCATAAAGTAGGACGGAGCGAACTGCTGCACAGTAAAATCGTCCTTTATTTGACAGGCGGATATCTCGCCTGCGCCACAAGTGACGCGAGTTGGCAACAGCCAATGGTGTACATGTTTAGCTTCAATGAATTCGTGGTACTACCCAATCACCTCTCATCGCCTTTATTGGCTAACTGCCCCACGCTCCATACGGTTGAGCTCCAGTGATCACAGCTTCTAGCTAAAACTTCGTAAATTTCCTCGCGCATTTAGCTCGCTTACTACCATCAACTGAATATAACGGGTAAAGTAATAAAAGCATGGTTGTAAGAAAGCATATGAATTTATTAGCCGATACCTGATCGATACAAACATTGGATAAAAAGAAAAGTTAGCCAATTCATATTAAGACCTGATGCATTCTTGTCAGCCGAATGATTTTATTAATATTCTTTCAATCAATTATTCTGACTTTTTAAATGACAAAGATGCACTGTTTACACAATAACGTAAACCGGTTGGTTTAGGTCCATCTTCGAACACATGGCCTAGATGAGCGCCACACTATTGGAAAAAATAAAAAATGTTTAAAAATGTGAATACTTTTTAGAACTAGACTAATTCGATTAAAAATGATATCATGGAAAAAGGTTGATTATTTAAGTATACCGCTACAGAAAGTCTAACAGAAAATAAAATTCTCCGAAACGGTCTTATAAAAATTATATTCATATGAATACTATGATTTTAAAGAAGTAATTGCATGACTTCATTATCCTTTAGCTTAGGAGGATTACAGTAAAATAGGCAAAATCACGACAATAGTAGCCATTCAAGTAGTTTGTGAAAAGTACTGAGGTGGAAAGGACCTTCAAACTCTAAAAGTCAACAAGTGAGGACACAAAATCTAGTATAATTGAACAACTTGAAGTGACGGATCTGCATAGAAATATCCATTTTTTTCTCCGAAAAACATATTTTTATCAACAGCTATTCACCAATTTTTCCCTGGTCGTTAAAAACGCTCAGCACTTCTCACAATACTAAACAAGTCATCGAAATTTTTTCTGTACGAAATTCCGTCCAAATTCGAACGATTGGTTCTACAATAGTTGGTTGCTGAACGTATGAAAGACACCACAAATGGAATTATACTTGTAAAATTCTCAGCAATCGAAATTAAGAATAACTTGAACGCTTCATTAAGAAGTATAGTTCGAGCTTCTTCAGGGAAACAATCAGAATTATAGAAAATAAGTATAGTCAAAAAAATAACTGTGTACCACCACCAAACAATTGTTCAGTCATGTTAAGCTGTTCAGTAGAGGTTTATAAAATTCTAATAAAGACAGTCCAAGGACTTCATATTTAGGTAAACCCGCGCAATCTAAGTAGACAAGGCGGAGTACAATTAGCTGCACTACAGCAGCTAAATATCCTTTCTTCATCTCATGTATTGTAGACAACGATATACATTCAATTTCCTCGTCAGTCATTATGTTTGAAACGAGTCTCTAGAGGACAGGAACACAAACATCCATTTATTCTCAAACCATGTATGCTGTGAAAAGTTTAGTTCGTGGCTATCAAACAAACCGTTTAATTCATTCTCCACCATGATCTGAAGCAACATGTTGTGGATACAGAATAATATCCCAATCATTGTCATGTTAAGTCTATGGTGGCCTTGGACTTTAAATGTGCATTCCCTATTGGCTATTATTTAATTCATTCGTTACATATTGTGTAAATGTTGTTTACTATTTTTATGGTACGATGTGGTTTGCTTGTTTGGTATATAAATAGAGCATGTCTGAAATACAATGATTCATATCTCCGAGGCTGTGACTTGTGTTCTGGACTCAACTGACTGGGCTAGACAGGGAAGCCAGACCAATCGAGACTCTAGGCCGTCCGTACGTGTTTACGTGTCATTGAATCGATCGATAACGCAGGGTAAAAATCGGACCCAACTTAAAGTCATAACACAACATATGACCAACAGTTTTCTTGTAAGCTCTGTATACATATTCTTACATTTCTTAACAAACTACATTTCAAATGAAATGACTTATGTCTACACCTTGAAAACTCGTACTGAACATATAAACAAGACTAGTCAATCATTAAAAAGGAAGAATATATTTGTAAAATCTCAGCGAATGAATTTGAAGTAAATCCAACGTTTCGCCTGGCAATCTGGTCCAAGCTTTTTCAAGGAAAATATAATCAAACAACAAAATTATCGAATATAAATAGGTACATGGTTCTTCGGTTTACTGTATACTGAATAAGTCATCCAATCAACGTGAAGGATTTTTTTATAAATAGGTATTTGCATTTGAAAATAATCAAGGGAAAGAATGAGAAAAAATTGTCGTGTTATCCTAGGCCATAGAATGACTTAAGGATTACAAAGTAAATTCAAGGTTATGACAAATTGTTTTTGTACTCATAAGGACAAGGTATGTGTTATGGAACCAAAAAGTGTTAAGACAACAGAATGTGTTTATACGCAAGTGATGTGAGAAGAAATTTCAATCAACTAAATATTGACTACGGTCTGTGTATATTAAGAAAACATATCATTTTTATATATGAAATGAATTACAAATGCCACAGCCTGCATTAAATGAAGATAAATAAATAAGATAAGTAAACAAAATAAAAGACTGAATTCAAAGAGGAATGTATATGTAATTGAAAGTGTTTGATATTTTTAATGTCCCAGTCAATTGTTTAACATATTCAGATAAGATAACGGATTTGAATCATTGAACGTATTATCTATCAATTAGTTACTATGGCATAGATATATCAAATTGCAAAAAGGAGATCAGGTTTACTTATTAATTATTAGTTGCCAAGGGACAGCTAGTTGTATTCCATCTCTCCTATTAATATTGTTTGAATTAGCCCATATGTGTAGGGCTTCGGCTGTTAGTCGTTCTTTGTAAGAATTAAATCCTTTTTGAATGATTCTCGTGCCATTGAAATCAACTGTATGACCCGATTCAATCGAGTGTAATGCTATCGCTGATCTGTTCTCAAGCTTTTTTACATCAATTGAGGATTTAGGAATGTGCTTTAAGCACAGTTTGTGTTCCTTCACCCTCACATTCAGTTGCCTTGATGTTTCACCTACATACGTTGCATTACAGTCATTACATTTGATTTCATAAACACAATTCTGTTGATCATCCTTGTGTATTGGATCTAGTCAATCGTTTAGTACATAGTTATTCTGCGACCTTATTTGTAGTCGATCACCCTGATATTTGTTTAGTTCCTTCAAGATCGGACTAGACTGTCGATTGACGCGTTGTGGTTCTTTTCCCACTCAATTGCTGAACCTCTGATAAATCTAATGTCAGCCTGTAATTCACTGTAATCTAAGAAACTCACCCAATAAAAGTACAACCCTAACTGTATCTTCTGCTGTCTGAAAATTATAACAATCTATTTGTATTGTAAATGGAATGTAAATTTCCCACATGAGAATAACGTGACAGACAGTATTGAAAAGCAAATAATAGACTCATTTGAACCGATTAAACAAGGTTTTATTTTAGAAAGTGTTCAGAATGTTGAGACCTACAGGAACCATAACACTAAGGCTATAAGGTCTGACAAAAAATACATAAAAGTGGTTTGCCTCTTCAACTCGTTTCGATATGAATAACTCAGCCTATCATATAAGAGCAAAATGGTTAGTGAAAGTTCTTAAACCGTTCCACAAAGAAATCGTTTCATATGCATTGAAATAATAGAGAGATGCAAGGAAACCTTAATTCCCGTATCTGCAAGAAATAGTTAGTTCTTAGATGCACGACGAACTTCCACTTTTGTATCGACAATGAATACGATAGGCAATTGGATGGTGTAGCCATGGGGTCACCATTACGCACTCCTTTGGCAA